CCAGCCGCAGGAACTGCAACAGGTTCTGGGTCCCGTGGCCCGAGATGGGCGCAGCCATGTGGCTACCCAACCCAACAGTGAACTATGATTTTTAAAGTGTGTCTGTGAAAGAGAGAAAAAAGGACACAGAGCCAATGGAGAAGGCAAAGAGGGGGCACAGCTCTATTTACCACCATCTCAAGAGAAGAAAGAAAGAGAATTTAGAAACAATAAAAGCACATACATCAGGGAACAAACAAGCTTAGGGGAAGAAAGGGGATCACAGCTAAATGGGGATTTGCTGGCTGACCAGGAAACTGTCCCTTCCTCACCCTGTCAACTTGAATTTCTCCATCTGCTCCAAGCCACAGCCATCTCTATGCTCTCCAAGTTCCCAGAGCACTTGCCCAAAGTTTACCCAAAATTAAATGCGTAAAGACCTTAGTGGGGTCGACACAAGGCGCTGCCCGGCTGGCTCTTGCCTCCCTTCCCACCCTCATCTCACCACCTTCTTAACTCCCCTCAGCTCTGGGCTCCAGCCTCAATGCCCTGCTTTCATGTCATCATTTGACCCCCATGACTTTTTCTCTGCCTGGAACGTTCCCTCTTCCCTTCCCATTGAACTACCCACTCCCGATCTCAGACTAGCTCCTCTGTTCAATGCCCTCACAACACTTTTATCTCAGTTTGTACATATCTATTCATATAGGGGATTATTGATGAGCACTTTTGCTGTCAGCTTCCAGGAGAGCAGAGACCATAGCTGGTTTCGCTCACTGAATGGGGTTTCATTTTTTTAACTCCTTTTTTACTTACTAATGAGGAGCCATGGAGAGATTATATCTTCACCTTCCCTTTCTTTACTACAGAGCCAGTGTCACTAGGTAGTGGGATATTTTGAACTAGAAATCGAGAAACAGCGAGTTTTCATTTTTCATTCCCACTCTCATCATGAACTCTCCATGTGACCTCGGGACACTGACGCTCCCCCTCTCTGAGCCTACTTCCTCTTTTAGGAAGTGTTTAATCTACATAGTGTCTGAGGTGCATCCTTCTCCAACATATCATTCTAGGTCCTTCGAAAGACTAACAAGACAAAGCAGAAGAAATTAGAGATTAACAAGAGCAAAAGAAAGAAAGAGGTCACCCACTAAGAAAAAGAGAATCCCTCGTGGTTGACCGAGCCTCGACTCTGGAATCTGAATTCCATTTCGGCAACTTGGTAACCTTGCGATCTTAGACAGATTGCTGCATCTCCCTGGACCCAGGTTTCCTCTTCTATAAATGTGATAAGAATACCAACCTCACAGTTTTGATTATCTCCCTTCAATCAAGCACTCTGTCACCCTGTCACATCCAACTACATGCAACGATTTTAAAGTTGGTTCCCAAGAGGTTTACAGATGATTCCTGTCTTCGTGATACAATGACAAGAGCATCACCAAAGTCCCCATTCAGACTCCACCACGATCATGTACTCGATTACGCTGATCGCCTTCACCCCTTTCCTGTATTTCCAAAGAAAAAAAGTGAGATTTCATAGAAGAAGAGAGGAAAGCTATTTCAAACCATTTCTTTTTTATATTTTTATTTTTTTTTTTTACAAAGAACCTTGGAATCACTGAATGATAGGCTGTTTGAGGCAGGAAAGACCTTTAAGGACAATCCGTTTCAGCCCTGTCACTTGGCGTTGGTGGTGATAAGAGACTGGCACATCTATATGCAGTGGAAAGAGAAGCTTGGAGTTGGAATCAGAAACCCAAGTTCAAGTGCTGGTTCTGCCAGTTTGGTGACCATAGGTCACTTAACCTCTTCAAGGGTCCTCAGCTGTGAAAGGGCATGGTAATCACTGTCTCTCGTAGGTAAAGTGAGGAGCCAGTGAGACAGTGCGGGTGAGAGTTCTTTGTGAACTATGTAAAGCAGTTTTCAAGTGAAAAGCACCACCGTGACTGTTAGACCCACAGCCTCCAAGCTCATAAAGCGTATCCAATCACCTACCAAAATACTACATCCTCTCATCCTGCATACCTATAGCATTTTTTATTTACTTATCTTTTTTTTTGCGGTACGCGGGCCTCTCACTGTTGTGGCCTCTCCCGTTGCGGAGCACAGGCTCCGGACGCGCAGGCTCAGCGGCCATGGCTCACGGGCCCAGCCGCTCCGCGGCATGCGGGATCCTCCCGGACCGGGGCACGAACCCGCGTCCCCTGCATCGGCAGGTGGACTCTCAACCACTGCGCCACCAGGGAAGCCCTATAATTTTTTTTTTTAAGATTTAATTTTATTTATTTTTGGCTGCATTGGGTCTTTGTTGCTGCGTGCGGGCTTTCTGTAGTTGTGGCGAGCGGGGTCTACTCTTTGTTGCGGTGCGTGGGCTTCTCATTTGTGGTGGCTTCTCTTGTAGCAGAGCACGGACTCTAGGCACGCGGGCTCAGTGGTTGTGGCTCGCGGGCTCTAGAGCCCAGACTCAGTAATTGTGGCGCACGGGCTTAGTCGCCCAGCGGCATGTGGGATCTTCCCGCACCAGGGCTCGAACCTGTGTCCCCTGCATTGGCAGGCAGATTCTTAATCCCTGTGCCACCAGGGAAGCCCCAATACCTGTCTAATTTTGTGAATCATGAAAGAAAAATACTGACGCCCAGCAAAACCCCTGGCACAGAATAAGGGCACAATAACTTTTTTCTGAATGATTTAGATTAAAAGGACTAAAGAAGGATTTTTGAGGCCTCCCCAGAGTCAAGAAGTGGATACAGGAAACCACCCAAATTCCCAGTCACAGGACAACCCACAAACACACTTGGGGCTCCAGTATGTTCCTCTCTCTGTTTCCTAGAAAGAGATGGTGTGGTGTTGAGAATTACTTGCAAGTCAAGCTTTGTTCACACTCACAGAAAAGCACGTTCCCCAAAACAAAGCAAGGACTCCTCACTCTCTAAACCTCACCCACATTTTTGTTCTTCCTTTAAAAACCAGTTTCCAAAAAGGTCATGTCCAGGAAAAAGTTAAGTGAGACACAACCTGAGTTGATTGGCTAGAAAATCAGTTCAGACCCTCCTTGAGAAATTCAGCAACCACATTTGAGCAATTTTCTATGACAGAGATGTGACATGGGCCAGGATGGGTGTTGCCACTGATGGTGGAACCAAGGGTATTTTCCTGGATTACCAAAGAGGTGGTATGTATTCCTCCCAGAAACTGAACCCACCCTAGGTTTCAGTGGAGGCCTTCACCTGAAAATGTCCTCCCTGTTGAAGTTTCAAGTCATTATTTTCGTAAGAACTATATTATCTTCAGTGAACTAAGGCATTACAATGATGACTCTACAGGGTCCCAAGTGACAGAAGCCATCGTTAGCGCTGTTATTATTTTTGTTTAATTGCATCTCCATAGCAGCCCACGTTCACGATGTGCTTTGCAATTGTTTCTTAGTAATAGTCTTCACGAGATCCGTAGGAGGCAGAGGGGGTAACGAGTGTTAATATTTCTGTGTCGCCTGAAAGAGAAGCACCGACTGCCAACACCTTTCACGAAAGGATCCATCCTGAGACACCCAAGCTCGTCCCAGTCTGGTCCTCCATCTACATTGCCTGCATCCAGGATGCCAGTTATTCCTGTGGTTCTTATTTATAACTATTATAACACCAGGTCTGTGAGCAGGAGGAACTGAACTGGACAATAGAATCAGTACCAGAGATTTTGCACCTAGGACAGACCTTAATGATCACCTAACCAACCTCATGATTTATGTCAAACAAGGCCCACACAGCATACTTTACACAACTCACACCAAACCACTTTACTCCTAGCCCTTCTGAGCTTTTTTGCTTTTTAATGTCATGTTGCATTGTGGTGTCTTGCCTTCCTCTCTTTACTTTTTATATTCCTCCTCTACCCTCTTTTCCCATCCATTTCCTTTATTTTAAATTATATGGCTTAAACTCCAACCAGGAAACCTGAAACATTTATCTGCTAAGAGTCTGGCGTTCTGCCACCTGAACTGGGCCAGCCTCAGTATACTGAAAAAGTCTTTGATGATAACAGCCAGGTAACACTGAATCAGGGTCGTGTATAAGAGTCCCTGAGTCCCTTCCTTTCTCAACCTCCATTCTTCTTTTATTTTTGACCGTGCCACGCAGCATGCATGATCTTAGCTCCCCGACCAGGGATGGAATCCAGGCCCCTGCAGTGGAAGCGTGGAGTCTTAACCAATGGACCACCAGGGAAGTCCCCCGATCTCCATTCTTGAATCCAGCCACTGGCTTCCAGCCTTGTCCATACCTCCCTGAGTCTGCAGCTATCCTCACGCACCTTGGGTTTATCCTAGAGAAGACCATGCTTCTCTCTGGGCTCTGGTAGAAGCCAAACATGGCCAGGAAAAGAGTTTTCTCCTAAAGCTCTGTCGCTTCTGTCTGAAATGGATTGACAGCATTCAGAGGAGTAAAAGGATTGACTTCTGTGGTTGACTATGATTTTTCTCTCCTCTACCCTGCCCTAACGGAGAAGTTGTCACCCCATGCTCAGAGTGATGGATGCCTACTCAAGCAGACCTCCCTCTTCAGAAAAGATGGATCGTCTCCTCTGAAGAGCCACCCCTTAGCTGCCGGGGGACTTCCAAGTATTCCATCAATTCATACTCAGCCCTGGGGCACAATAAACAAATTAAGCGAAAACACGAACTACAACTCCTAAGCGCCCCTCCAACTCTAACCATCTACAATTCTGCTTTTAGGAGTTCTCCCTCCATCCCCCACCAAATATTTTTAGAAACTTAAGTTTCCTGTTCTTCTTCCCTTTTTCTAAGACTACATGTTTATCACTGTTTAGAGCAAAGCAATAAATAAATGAACCAAGTCAGAAACTCCTGGAATCTCTGCAAACACTATGATCGAGTATATGGTTTGTCATTATTTTGGCCAGTATAAGGTTGAATGAACTTAAAAAAATACAAAGCAGAATTTTTCCCTGTGAATTTCCAGTGGTGCAATCATGGCCACGCCCACTCCAGAGCAGACAAAAGGCGAAGAAAGCTGACTGGGGCTACAGTCTCCACACGGAAAGAGAGCAAGTCATTTCACTGTCGCTCGCTCGAGTCAGCAAAGGTAAAGTCCTTATCACATCTTTGGATATTAACACATTTTTTTTTGTTTTTCTCCTTGGCTGTGCTCTCTCAAACTGCCTCCTCTGAAGCTAAAGCCTCTTCCTTCCTTTCCCATCCCTCTCTGGTTTGGTGTGTGAGTTAGAATCACAGTCAGATTTCAGAAAATGCTTCTCTCTACTGGTGGGAAATTGAGGGACAGAGGAACTGGTTACATATGAGGGCATTGGAGAGTGCAGCCAGGGCTTTCCTTGAAGGGAATCTCTACAACCAAAAACTGTTAGGAGAAAACTGGGAATTTCTAACGCTGCCTCTCTCTTGCATCTGTGTAAGGTAAATATCTCATCCTTGTTGGGGGTTTTCTGTTTCTTGTTTTCTACTTATTCAAACTTTCATTGAATGCCTACCATGTGTGGTGCTTTGGGTTGGACACATAAGGGTTACCAAGATTCTAAAAGAAGTTTACTGTGTAGCAGAGGAGGCAGATACATATGCAAATAATTCAAGGGAGTGAAAAGAAGAATGCTGAGTGTGAGCTAAGTCATTCATTAAATGTCTCAAGAAACACAAAGGGGAGGTGGTTCTCGTTGCTGGCATCTGGTTCAGAGGCTGGCAGGACTGACAGCTACTGGTGTTCTCTGTTGCAGAAGTGAAGATGGCCAAAGTCCCCGACCTCTTTGAAGACCTGAAGAACTGTTACAGGTAGGAAAGAGCTTCTGTCTCTTGTGATTTAATGAGGGGATCAAGGTACATTAGAATCCAGCTGGGCCAGACCCGCAGAGGCTGTAAAGATGTGTCCTACCTCTGAAGTCAGGGCAGGTTCAGTGAAGACCCAGGGAAACAGAACCCAGAATTTAAACTGAGGTGAAATTGACAGGGAGGCAGCCATTCTAGAAAGATCACTTTTTTAAAAAAAAAAAAAAGTCTATTCAGGTCTTCTGCCCATTTTTTAATCAGGTTGGTTTTTTGTTTTTGTTTTTTTTAGATGTTGGGGGTAGGAGTTTATTAATTTATTTATTTAGTTTTGCTGTGTTGGGTCTTCGTTTCTGTGCGAGGGCTTTCTCTAGTTGTGGCAAGCGGGGGGCCATTCTTCATCGCCGTGCACGGGCCTCTCGCTATCACGGCCTCTCTTGTTGCGGAGCACAGGCTCCAGACGCGCAAGCTCAGTAGTTGTGGCCCACGGGCCCAGTTGCTCCGTGGCATGTGGGATCTTCCCAGACCAGGGCTCGAACCCGTGTGCCCTGCATTAGCAGGCAGATTCTCAACCACTGCGCCACCAGGGAAGCCCGAAAGATCACTTTTAAGGGCTGCTGAGTCCTAGTGGTTTTCAACATCTACTTAGACACAGCTTCTGTCTGGTTCACATGCCCTGATACAGTAAGGAGTTTTAATGGATTGTCAGAAAGAGAAACCTTTCTCAGGAAAACTTCTTGATCTCAATCTGGAATAGGAAATGGCTTCACAGCAATTTGAGCATGTGAAACATACACGGTCAATCTCATTCAGACACAGGAGAAAGATAACGAATAAAAAGTTAAAATTGTGTAACACTTTAAGCCAACATGGTATTCCCATTACCTATTAAGATACACTAACCACAAACTAGACTATGGAAATGTTGCCTGGATATTTGGCAAAGTATAAATGATTAAATCTGTTTTAGTAAATACATGAAAGCAAAGTGTAACGTATAACCCATTTGGTTCAAATTTAAATGAGGTGCTTCAAAAGTGTTTCTTCTCTCTTGAGGAGCTTAAAATTTTTCCCCGAAATTCAATTACAAATCTTCAGTTGGTTAGCCAAGCCTCGTTTTTATAGGTAGAGCACAGGTAGAGTTCAAGGCCTGGCTCGATGATTACTAATTCCAAATTATCAAGTACAAATTACTGCATGGGTGTGTATGCACAGAGGCCCTTAATTTCCAAAGATGACAGTAATGGCTGTGTGTGTGTGTGTGTGTGTGTTACCCAAAGCTAATATAGTTATTAAAATATGTTGCCCAGTGACTGTAGTGATATAACAAACAGAATTATATTCTCATCCTCTTGTTTAACAGTGAAAATGAAGAATACAGTTCCGAAATTGACCATCTGTCTCTGAATCAGGTAAGCATATGACTGTAATTCTTATAAAATTGCTGTGTTTACACAGTATTTTCTCCACTAGTATAACAATGGCTTGAATCTTAGATGCTTCTGTTTTACCTTCACTAGAAGTCCAGAGACATGCACTTTTTCATTATAAGTGAGACCAACTGCCTCTTTGCACTAACAGTTGATGGCATCATTCATGGTCACCAGATTTTCCCAGAACAGAGCAGAACTCACCTGAAACTCCAAGAATGGAGTCTTCTGGGTCAGCCTTCAATCAGAATGTTGGTTTTGCCATCCTGGGACAGCCCCTTTGGGCCACTTCACCAGGGTTCTGTCTCCTTAAGTGACGTGTTGTTGACACCTTCTCTAACACCAGTTCCAGAGATTAGAGATAGCCCTCTAAGTGTAATAGCCCATGAAGCTGAGGTGGAAGAAGCAGACCAGTTGAAAGTAAAAAATCTGCAGCCGTTCACATGCTGTGTTATTTGTTTAGGAGACCACAAATAGGTACTGCTTTGTGTGTCTTTGGTACTAGTTCTAAAAGCTATACCTAGGGGAGTATTTCTAAAATATTTAAGCATTGTCAAGTAGGTGTTTGACCTCCTGAGGGGGAACTGACTAGAAGGCTACCACTCACTAAGATCACTTGTAGACCTGTTTCATTACAACATGTCATTTTTTTTACTGAAATATAGTTGATTTACAATATTGTGTTAGTTTCAGGAGGAGAGCATAGCGATACAGTTTTTTTTTCTGATATAGGTTATTACAAGATATTGAATATAATTTCCTGTGCTATACAGTAAATCCTTGTTGCTTATCTATTTTATGTATAGTAGTGTGTATCTCTTAATCCCATACCCCTAATTTGCCCCTCCCCCCTTACATCTCCCCTTTGGTAACCATAAGTTTGTTTTCTACGTCTGTGAGTCTTTTTCTGTTTTGTATATAGGTTCATTTGTATTATTTTTTAGATTCCACATGTAAGTGATATCATATAGTATTTGTCTTTCTCTGACTTACTTCACTAAGTATAACAAGATCTCATTTTTGAGTCTGTGGTTGGATGACAAAGACCTTCCCAGAGATCACATCTTTTCAGGGAAATCCTCAAAGGAGGGATGGGAGGAAGTGGGTAAAGAGGAAGGAGGCAGAGGAAAAGGAAAGGAGGAAGGAGAAAGGAAAGGAGGAAAGGAGGAAGGAGGGAAAGACTGATGAAACATGGGTTACCCGAGACCAAAATGGACATCCTTCTCTCTAAGTCTGTTGAATAAAACTCCTATTATAAAGGAGTCTCATTCTATGGCCATGGGCAGCTTTTCAGTTTTCATTTTCCTTCCTCACAGAAGTCCTTCTATGATGCAAGCTATGAACCACTTCATCAGGACTGCATAGATAAATATATGTCTCTGAATACCCCTGAAACCTCTAAGACATCCAAGCTTACCTTCAAGGAAAATGTGATGATGGTGGCAGCCAACGGGAAGATTCTGAAGAACAGATGGTTGAGTTTAAATCAGTTCCTCACCGACGATGACCTGGAAGACATTGCCGATGATACAGAAGAAGGTAAGGGTCAAGTGCAATAATATCTTTGTTTTCTACTTTTAAGCAAATGGGGACAGCAGAGTACAGGGAAAAATAAAACCTTGAGTAACAAGAGGGCAACCAACCATTCGTCTGTAACTATAAGAAAGGAAAATTAATTTTTAGCCTTCTCCAGTGGGAAGAGGTCAGCAGTGGCTTGAGTTTAGCATACCTGCTCACAGGCTCACTTCGTGGCCATATTCTTAAGGTCATGTGACTTTGCGCCTTTCGACAGAAAGCAGTTATATACTGTTAGTGGGTGACTTCCACTGTGGAAGTTATGCTCCTCCACATACTAATTATGTCTCCTTGGGCAAGTTACTTAACCTTTCTGTACTTCAGTTTCCTCTACTGTAAAATGGGGGTAATCCCCTAACTGTTGTGAAGATTAAATGAGTCGATACTTGCAAGCTTCTGGACTAAAATAATGCCTGGCACGTAGAAAATACCTAAAAAATGTTAGCTATTATTAGCATTATTACTACTACTATTTTGTTAATACTACCGACACTACTAACTTACTAATGGCTGCATTATCTCTAACCTTCACAACAATCCTACATTCTTGTTTTATATATGAGGAAAGTAAGCTCAGTGAGATATTGACCTGCCCAAAATCTCACAGTGTGTAAGTAGTAAAGTGTCAAACCAAATCTGTTCTATCTGACTATAGAAGTCATGATTTTTCTCCCATGCCTTCACTATACAAGCCTCCACATGAGATATAAACCTAATATTTTTAAAGTAACAACTAAATATTAACACATGTTCACCTAGAAAATTGGAAAATACAAGAATGAAAATTAAAACCACGCATACGCATACTACCCCTCAGGGCTTACCACTGCCAGCACTATGTTACCTTCCTTAAAGTCTTTCCTATGTGCCTGCACACACAGGAATATACATGTTAAACATTATTAGGTCAATTACATACAATTTAATATCCAACTTTTTTCATTTGTCAATAAATAAAAGACATTTTAGAGCTCCAGTTTCTTACCATTATAAGTAATGTGACAATGAAGAGCCATATCAATAAATCTTCATTTCTATCATTTATTTACTTAGAATAAAATATTCCTGGAAGTAGAATTATTCAGAGCCATGAGGATTTGTGAAGCTATTGACATATACCCCTGTTCAGAAAGGTAGTAGATAGAAAAAACAAAATAAAAAAAATTTTTTTCAAAAAATAAAAAGAAAGGTGGCACACTATGAAGAACAGTATGGAGGTTTCTTAAAAAACTAAAAATAGAACTACCATATGACCCAGCAATCCCACTACTGGGCATATACCCTGAGAAAACCATAATTCAAAAAGAGTCACGTACCACAATGTTCATTGCAGCTCTATTTATAATAGCCAGGACATGGAAGCAACCTAAGTGTCCATCAACAGATGAATGGATAAAGAAGATGTGGCACATACATACAATGGAATATTACTCAGCCATAAAAAGAAACGAAATTGAGTTATTTGTAGTGAGGTGGATGGACCTAGAGTCTGTCATACAGAGTGAAGTAAGTCAGAAAGAGAAAGACAAATACTGTATGCTAACACATATATGTGGAATCTAAAAAAAAAAAAAAAAGGTTCTGAAGAACCTGGGGCAAGACAGGAATAAAGACGCAGACGTAGAGAATGGACTTGAGGACACAGGGAGGGGGAAAGGTAAGATGGGACGAAGAGAGAGAGAGGCATGGACATATATACACTACCAAATGTGAAATAGATAGCTAGTGGGAAGCAGCCGCATAGCACAGGGAGATCAGCTCGGTGCTTTGTGACCACCTAGAGGGCTGAGATAGGGAGAGTGGGAGGGAGATGCAAGAGAGAGGAGATATGGGGATAAATGTATATGTATAGCTGATTCACTTTGTTATAAAGCAGAAACTGACACACCGTTGTACAGCAATTATACTCCAATAAAGATTTAAAAAAAAAAAAAGGTGGCAGACATTTAGACCTGCACCTCAGTGACATATAAAATTCCTAGTGGATTCATTTTTTTCTCAGAGTGCATTGATTTGAAAATATAGGTGGAGAATATACAAGGAGTCTTCCTGGTTACTTACAAACCTCCAAACAACCAAAAAAGTTGTACAGGTAATCTTTAAAAAAAAAAAACTATTGCCTGAAGAATCTAAGTTTAAAAAGAAACAAATTAGTAACCACAGGGATAATCCTAGAACCAATTCTGCTGACAGGGTGATTTCACTTCTCTCTCAGTTTCCTCACCTAGACTGGGATATTCTTCATGTCCCTTCAATAGCTTGTATTAGAGCATGTATATCATCTATGTTTGTACTTGAACATTAATCTGAGCTCGTGATAACGGTTTTAGAAATCATCAAGCCCAGATCAGCACATTACAGCTTCCAGAGCAACATGAAATACAACTTTATCAAGCTCATCCAACAGCAATACATCCTGAATGACGCCCTCCATCAAAGTATAGTTCTACATCCGTCAGGTCAATACCTCATGGCTGCTGCATTAAATAATCTGGATGAGGCAGGTAAATGGACAACTCTGTCATCTTCCCCCACCCTTTTTGTTTCTGTATTTCTTTTAAGCTTTCTGCTTTTAAAGAATAAACCTCTCTAGATTCCTGGCTTTGCATGATTTATCTAGAATAGGATGAAGCACATCACCCCTCGTAAAAATTCTGGGCAAGGACAGGAACTTCAGCCAAATCTGGAAGCTTTAACAAGAGAGAAGTGTCTTAGCTATGAAAGCTCTAAGCGCAGTTTAAAGCTTTCTGAGATACTGTCTCCTTTGGTTCTCTGAGATAGTCTTATCCTTGATTTTAAAGGTAAGTAAACAGAGCCTCAGAAATATTCAGTGACTTATGCAAATTTACTCAGAAGCCAATGAGGAGCCTGCTGATCAAACTTCCAAATAACACCAAACTAGGAAGAATCTTTTTTTATATATATATAAATTTATTTGTTTATTTTTTCGCTGTGTTGGGACTTCGTTGCTGCACACGGGCTTTCTCTAGCTGCGACGAGCAGGGGACTTCTTTTCCTTGTGGTGCTCGGGCTTCTCATTGTTGCGGCTTCTCTTGTTGTGGATCACGGGCTCTAGGCGTGAGGGCTTCAGTAGTTGCAGCACGTGAGCTCAGTAGTTGTGGTGCACAGGCTTAGTTGTTTCGCGGCATGTGGGATCTTCCTGGACAAGGGCTCGAACCCGTGTCCCCTGCACTGGCAGGTGGATTCTTAACCATTGCGCTACCAGGGGAGCCCAAGAATCATTATCTCTGATAACATAATTGTGAGGCAAAGTAGCCAATAAGCTGCAAATATGTTTTGAAGAATGAAATTTAGGATGCAAGAAATTTTGTCACAATGATCCAATTTCCATGGTGTACATATTTTAGCTTAAGGACATGTCATCAGTAAACAAAATTATCTTCAGAGGTCCAAAGAGGCTACTTTGTGATAAACAAGCAGGGCTCTTTCTGATTGGATATATTTCAGCTAACATGCTTTCCACTCTAAGACATTTACAAATTATTTTGTGTTCTACTTTCCTACTTAATATTATTTCACACAATTTCCCCACATATTGACAGAGTATATGTATTTGCCATTTTTAATGGCACTAGAATATTCAATCATGTTGCTATGCTGGTGCCTTGGGTTTGCTCTAAATAATTCAGTTGCAAATGTCTTTGTTTAAATTATTTCTTTCTCTATGAGCTTATTTCTTGGAACGTATCCCAGATGCTGGATTTCTAGGCATAAATAATTTTACAGCTCTTATTGAGCATTGTTCTCTAAGGAAAACTGAACTACTTTTCACTATCCTTAGCAACATATGAGTGTATCAGCTTCTAAACCCCTCCATTTTACTCATGACTTCACAAATTCCAGGGTCTTATCCCACTAATATAATTATAAGAGATTCAATAAATATGCAGCCCCCAAGCATTCATTCAACATAGAAAATTCTAAAGCCATTAACCAAGTATTTACCTGCCTAGTGAATAAGGCAGACATTGTGAAGGATACAAAGATGTATAAATTCCATTCCTGACGTTCGGGTACTTACACCATAGTTGGGGACATAACTGCACACACACAGAGAGCATCTTTTATATATATATATATATATTTATTTATTTCTTATTTATTTATTTTTGGCTGCATTGGGTCTTCGTTGCTATGTGCGGGCTTTCTCTATTTGCGGTGAATGGGGGCTACTCTTCGTTGCAGTGCACGGGCTTCTCATTGCGGTGGCTTCTCTTGCTGCAGAGCACGGGCTCTAGGCATGTGGGCTTCAGTAGTTGCAGCACGTGAGCTCAGTAGTTGTGGCTCGTGGGCTCTAGAGCACAGGCTCAGTAGTTGTGACGCACAGACTGAATTGCTCTGTGGCATGTGGGCTCCTCCTGGACCAGGGCTCGAACCCGTGCCCCCTGCATTGGTAGACGGATTCCCAGCCACTGTGCCACCAGGGAAGCCCACACACAGCATCTTCATAAACACTTGATTTTACACAAATACAGTGGATTTACTTTTTTTTTTTTTTTGGCTTTTCTCTTTGCCAGTGGAATTTGACATAGCTGCTTATACATCAGGAGATGATACTCAACTTCCTGTGACTCTAAGAATCTCAAAAACTCAACTGTTTGTTTGTGCTCAAAACGAAGGCGAACCCGTATTGCTAAAGGTCAGTTGTTCTCAGTCTCCAATTTACCTTCATTTACAACCCATGCATTTGTAGATGATCCCAAGAGGCAGACACCCCTAGCAGGATGGCACAGTCCTCTTTTCTTCTTCTTTCTTTTTTTTTTTTTTTTTGCGGTACACGGGCTTCTCACTGTTGTGGCCCCTCCCGTTGCGGAGCACAGGCTCCAGACGCGCAGGCTCAGCGGCCATGGCTCACGGGCCCAGCCGCTCCGCGGCATGTGGGATCTTCCCGGACCGGGGCACGAACCCGTGTCCCCTGCATCGGCAGGCGGACTCTCAACCACTGCGCCACCAGGGAAGCCCCCGTCCTACTTCTTACCCACTATATTCAGAGGCAGTTCTAGGCAGGATCTGTGGAGGTGGAGGTGGCAAAATGACATAAAAGGCAAACTGCCTTCTTCTTCTTTCTCTTTTCCCTGCCTGGTCCTATTCACCTCCCATCCCTGGGCATCTGTTTATTCCATCCCTCTTTGAGCTCTACTGACATCTACTATCTGACCTACATGACAGTAGGCTTTAGTACCAGGGGGCCTGCCTCCAAGAGTGTCAAATAAGCCACTGAGATCACAGAGGAGTAATCACCCGCCAGTGGGTACAAAGCAAAAGCTGGGGGCCAAGGCTCAAACCCTGGCCTTCTGACTGCAGTGCCTCTCTCTCTTCATTGGTGCCAGTTTTCTCTCTCAGCCCAGCCTCATCTCTACTACCACATTCCCCTCCAAACATACAGACACACACACATGCCCACTAGAGCCAAATGTTTTCTCCACTGATTAGTGGGTGACTCTTATTCAGTAAATGTGTAAAGTCCAACCCCTGCTCCCACCCTAACTAGGATTTCCGTGGATGCATGTGTCTCTCTTCCTGGATCAAGTCAGATGAAAGTGATGTCTATAGAGTAGGGCAGTAGCTTCATTTGTGAATTCATTCAACAAACGTTGTTTATTGAGAGCCTTCTATTTTTCAAGCAGTGTCAACATCTCAGTAGACAGTGGTGAGCCAAAGCCTTATAGAACTCACTCTTCTGAAGGGCACAGACAATAGACGAGCCAAACAACCAGCAAAAAGTGCAAGATGCTGTAAAGCCAATGAACAGGGCGCTGAGATAGAGAAAATGAGAGCATGCTTTTTACACAGAGCTCCCTAGAGATGAGAGCTGCTGCCAGGAGGGAGCATGCCATGGGGGGTGGGGGGCATTCCAAACAGAGGGATCTGAGTGCACCCAGCCCTAGAGCTTTACAAGGCCAGCTTCAAAGATCAGAAGGGACACCCAAGGAGCTGGGACACCCTGAAAAAAAGGAAAGATAAATAGAGGAAAGGACTTCAAACAGGGAAGTATCCTGACTTTACTTATATTTTCTAACTCAGAGAATAGATCAGAAAGGAGGCAATAGAGAAAATCTGATTAAGATGTGGTAGTAACAGTCGGGGTGGGTGGGGGCGGGAGTTGTGAGACAGGTGGAAAGAAGGAGACAGAATCTGGTTATATTTTGGAGATAGAACCAACAAGAGGAAGAGGGGGAAACTGGGAGAGAAATAGGTTTGAGAAATAAAATCCTTGTTGACATTGAAAAACCCAAGGAAACCTCAAAAGGATATTTAGTTCTTTTCTATTAAAAGAATAGAGAAGAAGCATCTTAAGTTTTTTTCATACTTGCAAGAGGAACAAGAGGAGTGTCGTCTAAAGGGATCACAATTTTCAAAAAATTGTATTGAAAGGATTCAGCTTCTAATATGTCTGGAAAGTTTTGTGTATGTGTGTGTGTGAGATTTGGGTTTCTTTAGTCTTCAGTTGTTGACTTAAATACAGAGATAAACATGTCTAAATTCTAAGTTATTTTCCCAAAGTATGTTTTGTACATTTAGAGGTCAAAAGGTTTCCAGGTCTTAGCGTCCTTAGTGCTCATATCTGATGCAAAATGTTCTATTCCCATGTTCAGGCAGGACAAGAAGAATGTTCCGCCCTACCTGTCAGGATATAGTGAGACACTAGTGTCTTTGGCGATCTTCATGATGACATTGGATTTCTCTCCAGTTAACTGAGGAAACCAATTATTATGAATAGATGGGGCCATACATCTAACAGGCATGTAATAAATGCTTTCTGAATGAAAAAATGAATGAAGAACCTATATCATCATGTTACCTACTCATAGTCCTAAAGTACTGTGTATCTCATGAAGACCAAACGCCAAGGAATTGAGCATCAGTTCTTTTTTTACCATCTTCCTCTTCTCTTTTAATAGATCTTTGTTTTCCTTATCCTAGGAGATGCCTGAGACACCCCAAACCATCAAAGATGAGACCGATCTCCTCTTCCTCTGGAGCAACCATGGCAGTATGCAACACTTCAAATCAGTTGCCCATCCCAAGCTGTATTTTGCCACAAAGGGAGAAAAACTGGTGCACCTGGCAAGGGGCCCGCCCTCTATCATTGACTTTCAGCTTTGACTGTGGAGTCTACTTACTTGTGAAGTGTTGACAATCTGTATGTACCATGTACATGAAGGAGTCAAATCCTGCACTCTTAGTCACTCTCTGAGCATGTGCTGAGACTTTGTAACTCTAAATGAATATTTACTCTCTTTCTAAGAGAGGGCACAAAGTCTAGTAGAACCAACACTAACATATAATGTTGCTTGTTATTTAAAGAACACCCCATGCTTTGCAAACTACCAATCATTTTAATTATTATTATGCATACAATCTTGGGAGGGCCAGGGCTACTGACCGTGGCTACCAAAAAGGCTCTACCCATATTACAGATGGGTTAACTAAGGCATAAGAATACTAAGAAATACCCACCATAGTATTTGGAATGAGAAGCCATGGACCCAGGATTTCATTCCAACTGCTTAGCTTCTGCTTTTAAGTTGCTGATGGACCCTTTATCAAACACTGTAAGTTTCTGGGACCTCAGTTTGATCATCTTCAAAATGGAGGGAATGATGGCTATGTCCTTCCTGCCTCAATGGTATTTTATGCCAATCCGTGAGCTCGTTTTAGTAAAATACTTCTTGAAGCTGAGCCTCAAGAAGAAGGCAAAGGATGCAATATTATTTTAAATTATTATTTATTACACTTATATATTTGTAAATATTATTTCTAAGATAATTGTAACATTATTATATTTATAGCAATTCTTTGCAGTCTCTGAGTATGCCCATGTATCTTCAACAATAGTAGACAGTGTTTTCCAGGCTGAATGAGTTTCAGGCACTAAGGCACTTTGATCCAAGTTGTGCTTTTTCCATTGCTGTGAAGCTCTGTATTCTAGTACCTGGGAGTTCTGTAATTACGATAATAAATTTGTATTAATTACCTTGTTCGTTTGAACTGATAACTGGCCAAACTCTTTCACTCCTCCGCCTTTGTCATTCTTGTGTCATTCAGTTTCACCTGCTCTCAAGTCCTACTAGCTAAAATGGGATGAACCTAACTTTGGCAACTGTTATCTCAACTTTCTTTTCTGGAACATGAGCAACGTTTCTTCTAGGTTCTAGAAGTTGTGATCCAATCGTAGTGTTACATTACCATCAACAATGTGAACTGATACATTATTATCAATCATAATTGAATATAATTTAGAAAAAAGTAAATCTGGCCCATAATTACATATTGTCTTAATCATTATTTTACAGCATGGTAATTAGGAACAGATAATAAAAGTAAATAACTATAAGTAGTGTTACAAAACCATACCAAGATTTTATGGGTTTTCTCTCCCCTTTGTTAGCTTGCCAGTATGCATAAAAGGCATAAGAATGATAATATTCCCAGGTTCATTTAAAGCTCATATTACACACAACACATGTGTTCTTATGTCCATACAAACTCACATATTCAGAGCCACATTAAGGACTAATGGATCCTTTTGGAAAGCATAGATACAAAGTATGTTGAGTTGGAAAAAGTTGAAATCAAGAGAACTTGGAATTAGATGTGGGAAGTAGTGGAGAAGGAGTAGTCCAAGATGACTCTCAGTTTCCTGCTACTGGAGAGAGGGTGAGCAGTGGTGTCTTAATCAGTATTTTTGGTGAAAATATGGAGTTCTAGGATGAAATATAATGAGTACCATTTTAGACACGTAACTTGAGCTACTGGCAGGACACCCAGATGCACATGTACAATGGGCAGATGATGATGTGTCTGGAACTCAAGAAAAGTTAGAACTAGATACAGACTTGGAAGACATCAGCAGGTTTTTAGTAGGTAAAATCCTAAAAATGACGTCAGAGAGAGAAGAGAAGAATATGATGAACACTGTCGGTTGTCCACCCAATCACCATCTCCCCATCTTCCTTACTGACAGAACCCTGACTTCATTCAGAAAGAAATATGTCTTGAATTGGCTTAGACCAACTGGACTCAAAGAATGAGTCCAATTGGTCTGAGCCAATCATGGTCATTCTGTCCTCCCATGACTAAGTCACGTTGAGTTAGTCCTGCCTAATGAGATGTCTGCTGGGGGCAATTTCTGGGAAAGATTTTCTACTCTGATAAAAGAGCCATGTAGAAGAAAGTCTTTTTTTTCTTCCTTCCTTCCTGCATGAGACATGTTCTATGAGGATGTAGAGCTTGGAACTGTGCTAACCAACTTGCACTTGGGAAGACACAGCCACACGCTGAGGATGGCAGAATGGAAGGAGAAATAGAGTCAGCATTTCTGATGACATTGTTGCACTAAGAATCTACTTACTGCCAGACTTTAAGACCGCAAGAAGCATTATTGCGATTTTATTCTTTTTATATTTGGCCGCGTCGGGTCTTCGTTGCTGTGCACGGGCTTTCTCTAGTTGTGGCGAGTGGGGGCTACTCTTCGTTATGGTGCGCGGGCTTCTCATTGCAGTGGCTTCTCTTGTTGCAGAGCACAGGCTCTAGGCATGCGGGCTTCAGTAGTTGTGGAGCACAGGCTTAGTTGTTCCAGGGCATGTGGGATCTTCCCAGACCAGGGCTCGAACCCATGTCCCCTGCACTGGCAGGCGGATTCTTGACCACTGCACCACCAGGGAAGTCCCATTATTGTGATTTTAAATCATTTACATTTGGTTTGCTATTACTTACAGCCGAACTCAGCCTAATTGAGCACCACAGAGTACAGACACAGATACAGAGCACTGCAGAAAAACAGAGAGAAAAGGAAAAAACCTGTTCTCTTGTTTGTTTCACACTGTTCTTTCTAGTTGCCATTACTTTCCTAGGTTTTCTATACCCCGAGTCTGGCTAGAGTAAGACTAGGTATCAATATTTTAAGAAATAGAGAAATACAAAACACTGAGCAAGCAATACCAATTCAAGAAATCTTAAAAAGCATAATAGCTGCTCAGTCTTCAACAGTGAAATATTGAATCATTCTAGAAATGGCCTCAAGTATTATTCTAACAGGATCAGCTATGCATATCCCCTACTCCCTACTCCCCAGCTGCATAAACAGTGAGAAGGTCACCATGATGAGCTTCAACAATCCTAGCACTGAACTTGTTGGAGTCTATTTCTTTAATATGGTCTTATACATCAGTCTCCAAATTGATGAGTATAGAGCCATATCACCTGTAAGTCCAAGGTATGGAAGGAAAAGGGAAAGGATATTTCCCTAACCCTCCCCCCAATTAAATCATCCCTCTGATGCTTACATATACCTACACTTGAACTTTTGGGGGATGATGGAAATAGTTGGGATAACAGTAAGTACTGTGTTGGATGTAAAATATCCTTGTGTATCTATACCTTTTCCTTGATTGTGTGGTGGTTTCATGACCATATACATTTGTCAAAATTGTCCTCTTGAGTCTTGGCCAATGTTGGCTTGTCAATATCTCTCATAAAACTTGTTACCCAGAAATTAGTATACTATTCAGGATATGGCCAGCCCAGCACAGCTTAGAGTGGGACCTTGTCCTTCCAATTTTAGACACCATGCTGTTTTTAGAAAGTGACATTAGCTTTTTGAAAGCAAGTGACATTGTTGATTCATATAGGGTTTGTAGGCAACAAAGACCTATAGGTTCTCATCCTAAATTCAAAACTTTACATATATGCCTGTTCAATTTTAATCTTTATTTGGCCCCAGATCTTTCTAGATTGTTCCAGATTCTGATTTTTTTTTTAATACACTGACTCTTCCTCTTAGTTTTGTGACATCTGTAATTTGGTGAGCATGTTTTCATTTTGTACATAGTATATCATAGAGTATAAAAAATAGGTTACAAACATTTTTGCAAGGTGCCTGAACTACAGTGACCAAGGGGAGAGTGGTATGAGCTGAAGCTGTAAAAGTAGGCAAAGGCTAGGCCCTGCAGGAGTTGTAGGACTTTAGCCTCAGAGCAATGGGAAGCCATTCAAGCCACAAGATGGATACTTTGCTAGATGAGTTGAGAATTGTTAAACCTATTTAGCTTTTTTTCCATATTTTGTGTCCTACAAAATGGTTCTTCAAATATCCAAAGAATTTAGAAAAGGGTGCAGAGTCAGCCCATGTTGCTCCAGAGAACAAGGACCAATGAGCAAGAGGCTTATTTGAACTCTTCTTTTTCTTTAATTTTCATAATAATCAGCAGTTGTCTAAAAACAGGACAGGTGAAGCAGCTCCCTGACCCAAGCAGTATTCCTGCAAAGATGCAATGCACACATGGGATCTGTAGAATACTCTAGCACTGGGTGGTGGACAAGATGACTTCTCAATCTGCAACCCATTCGATCACTAAGATTCTATAAAGACCAAGAGAACTCCTTTCACTTTTCTGAAACTGTACATGAGCCACTTTCTTACTCATTAACCAAAAATGTTCTGCCCAGCTGCTAGATTTAACCATTAGGCGAGGATTCATGGCACTAGACACAGAGTCCAAGTTTTTCACTTAAATAATTATCAGTTGTCCTATTTTACTACTAGTGTGTCAAAATATATCAATCCAGAAACCCCAGCATGGCTCCCTCCTGAACACCCTGTTTGGAAACAAAGAGGAGAGCTGCCCCAATGGCTTCATGCCCAACTGAGCACCCAAATGGTGAAGCAAACCTGGCAAAAATGGGCCCACACACAGCTCCACCTCTCTATCCACCACCTCTCTGGCACCTAGGGAAGTGGAACCCTAACACATAGAGTGCCAAAAGCATTTCCCAAACCTCTTCATTGAAACTGTGGATTAGCCAAACTGGGGAAATTTTTGAAAGAAAAGTTTTAGGACAGAAATAAAAGGAATGAGGTGTGTCTAGGGACTCAGGAGGTCTGGACCTGCCCCCATTGTCCCTTCCTTGGTTAGGCATACACCCAGCTGTTAAGGTCTAATCAAAAATATACATCAAAAAGGGGCCATCCCGAAAACAGCATGGCAGTTCCTCAAAAGATTAAAAATAGAGTTACTGCATAATCCAGTAATACCACTTCAAGTTATATACCCAAAGAATTGAAAGCAGAGGCTCAAACAGATAATTGTACACTCATGTTCAAAGCAACATTATTCACCATAGCCAAAAGGTAGAAGTAACCCAAATGTCCATGACAGATGAATGCATGAACAAAATGTAGTATATACATACAATGGAATATTATTCAGCCTTAGAAAGGAAGGAAATTCTGTCATACGCTACAACATGGATGAACCTTGAGGACTTAATGCTAAGTGAAGTAAGTCAGTCACAAAAAGGCAAATACTGTATGATTCCTCTTAAATGAGGTTCCCAGAGTAGTCAAAATCATAGACAGAAAGTAGAATGGTGGTTGCCAGGGCCTGGGGGGAGAAGGCAACAGGGAGTTAGTGTTTAATGGGTATAGAGTTTCTGTTTAGGAGGATGCGAAAGCTCAGGAGACAGATGATGGTGTTGACCTGAAACAGACTGCCAGATAGTTTCCCAGCAGAGATGGGTTTATTCAGGGTCAGCAGAGAATTGCAATTTGGGATCTGCAACCATGACGAGCCACACTGAAGTCGAGGGAAGGAAAATGCTTTTCCAGAGGGGGAAACGGAAGTTGGGTGAGCTGTAATAAACAAAGAGTCCCTGGCTTTTCATTGGCGAGTCCTTGCCAGGAAGCAGGAGTCTTTCTTCTTATGACTGGGCTCCCTGTGGTCGCAGAATATGAGAACTCCCCCTTCTGATCTCCCTACTCTATTTGATGTACCTGTTTGATTTTTTACAGTGGTGATGATTGTACAGCATTGTAAATGTACATAATGACACTGAACTGTACACTTAAAAATGGCTTAAATGGTAAACTTTGTTTTGTATATCTTAGCACACTGAAAAACATAAAAGGAGACACGCTGCAGTACTAAAAACTAAGATCCTTTAGCTTCAGAGACCCATAACAAGTGGAGATGTACACTCATGTGGAGTCGCCAAATTCATCATTTTGGTTTTATCTTATTTTTATGTGAACCTTAGCATCTAAGGGGGCTGGGGAGGCGTTGCCTAGGGGGCCCAGGGGCTCCCCCAACGCCCATCCCCGCCGCCTTCAGCGTAAGTGACAGCACAACGGCCCGGAAACCGCATCCTTAAAAGGGGGGCTTCTCCCACCCAACAAGCCGCCCTCAGTGCCAACTGCCCGTTCAACTGTACGTTCTTCCAATCAAAGGGCCCCCTGGGTGATTTGACTGGCAGAGCCAACCACAACGCGTCTATTTCCTTTTGTCCCGCCCTCCCCCGCTTCCGACTGGCGGGTTTCAAACCAACGGGAGCCAATGAGAGTGGGCGCACGCCCGACGCGCCGGCCTTGACTGCAGGCGCGGCCTTTTGAAGAAGAACTGTAGCTGGGGAGTCATGGTGCTGCCGGGGCGCTCCGCCGCCGCGGGTGAGTATGACTTCGAGCCGCTGTGTCTTACGGGCGGGGACGAAGGGAGGCCCCCGAGTGAGTCCTTTAGGCGGAAGTGGCCGGTCCGCTCGCCTGCCTGCCTCTGCCTCCCCGTCGGCGTTTCCGGTCTAGGGGGCGCTGACCCGAGCCCAGGCCCTAGGCCCCGGTGAGAAGTCGGGGCCGGGGGTCGGGGAGGGTGTGCGCGGGGCCATGTGCCTCCCAGGCATCTTCCCAGTGACTCCCGCAGAAGCTCTGCAAGAAGCTGTCATTGTCACCTCGTTTGGGTAAAGAACCTGAGACCCCTTGCCCGGGGTGGCACAGTCAGTAGGAAGCTAGGCGCTCCTGCGGCCCATATTTGGCTCCAGGCGGAGCCCGGGTGTGGCCCTCGGGGCAGCGCCGGCCGCCCGAGTAGTGACAGCTGTCAAGGAGGGTCTCACCCCGACGCGGAGCTCATCTCCTCTCAAGCCTGCGCGCCCTGGTGGAAGCTGATGGGTTAAACGTGCGCGGAGGCTGAAGGGCTCCCCGACCTCTTAGATGTGCCTGGAGCCCTTTGCTGACTTTCAGGGTACTCCTGCTCAGGTGCCTGCCACCTGCTCCAAAATGCGTATAGTGTTTTGTTGGTTTCGGTAATAATGCATGTTGACTGTTTAGGCACTTTACACAACAGCCTTTCAAGATGGGCATTTCTGCCCCATTTTAAAGGCTCAGCAGCAGCAAGGTTTGGTAACTTGCTAGAAGTCACAGAGCTGGGATTCCAGCCCCGTCTCTCAGTCTCCAACAGTCCTCTTGACACAGCTGTCTCCTAGGGATGCATCAGAGCCAGATATCAAAATACAGGGCATAAATACACTACCACGTGGAAAATAGATAACTCCTGCTCTGTGATGGCCTAGTTGGGTGGGATGGGGGGGGCTGCCCAAGAGGGAGGGGATGTGTGTATGCGAATGGCTGATTCACTTGGCTCTGCAGCAGAAGCTAACACAACATTGTAAGGCAATTATACTCCAAAAATGAAAAAAAAAAAAAAACCCAAAAAACACAGGGCAACTCAGTTTAAATGAGGTTGAGTTGTTTTGCACCCCTATAGCTTTTTTTTTTTTTTAAACCATTACTGAATTTTAGCCTTTTCCAACCACCCAGTCCCCTCACTGAGTCTTTGCCTCTGGACTCCCATAGTTCTTTCTTTGACCCTATTTTATGGCATTTAGATTTTGCCTTATATTGTAATTATTATTGTGTTTATTTTATCTCCACTACTAGATTGAAACTTCTTGAAGATGGAAATACTGACTTTTCATTCCCTCACAGATGCCTTGCTTAGAAAGTCACCATATGGATAGATGTTTGCCATGAACCCCCTAACCTGGCCTATTTTGTCCTTAGTACCAAAGGAAACCGTGTAAAGGTTTGGGGTCAAAAGTCATCATCCCTGTTAGAAGGGATTAATAAAACAAGGCCCGGGCTTGCCAGCTTAGGTGGGCCAGTAACAGAATCTCTTCAAGCAAAGCTTGATGTGTTGGAGCTGAGAACAGTGGCTGTGAGCAAGGGCTTTGGGTTTGGATAAACCTGGTTTCAAATCCTGGCTTAGCCACATGTTATCTGGGTAACTTTGGGCATATCATTTATCCTCTTTAAATTTCGGACTGTAAAATACTTCATAGGATTGTAGTGCAGATGAAAGGAAGTGTGTGTGACGGGCTTTGTACGTGGCATATAAATGATATTGTTGATGTTAGTGTTAACCTGGAGGCACATTTGTAGGGCTGGGGACTTTACAGCTTTATGGTCCGAAGCCAGAATCATTACAGAGAGGTGTCGTCTTTTAGAATATAAATGAACTGGTTAGAATCTCACGCGTTTGTTTGCTCGCCTGTTTTGCAGAAGAGCGGCAGAGAAAGCTCCAGGAGTACCTAGCAGCCAAGGGAAAACTGAAGTGCCAAAACACCAAGTGAGTTTGTCTCCCGCGGTTATGCACGTTTGCCCTGGTTGCTAATAGCAGCTTAAAGCCTTTTCAAAACATAGCCCTTTTGTTTGCAGTCTGCTCAGACTTGCCTTGGGATCCTATGATTATTCGAAAAGGGCATTTCCAGGCAAGCCATGACAAAGATGTTGGCAAAGATTTAAGCATTACTATTGTGACAGTCTCCAAAGGCGGGAGAGGAGGGTCTACAATATCACCTGCAATGCTGCAAGCGTTTCCTGGGAGAGTGATTCTTGTGAAGGCAATGTTTGGCCGAGGAGTTGAGTGACCCTGGTTCTGGTGCTTCTCTCTAAAGCAGGAGAGCCGGTTCAGTCCATCCTCCATAAGCTGCACACCCACATCCTCCAGCCTGACAGTGCTCTTTGGTCTCCCTCTTAGCACTTACTCTTGAGGTAAACGGAATATGACTGCTTCACTTTGATCTTTTGTCAACATCTTGTCATCTAAATGGTGTTATCTCACTTGCCTTAGCATTGATATGTTTTTCTACCCAACATGTTGCTAAATTTTTATTTGAAAACCAATTTTTACAAAGTTAGCTTTCACCCTTTGTTCTAGTTTCTTTTTACTTTGGGTTTTTACTCGACTCTATTTCCTTGATTAAATAAACCTAATTCATGTAGTCAACATATATTTATTTAATACCTATAATGTATCAGTCACTCTTGCTTCTGAAGGTATGCGCCCCCTGCCTTCCCAGGACTTACATACATCCAAGATGGGAGAAACAAGCATCAAGTCGTGATCAAAGTCCCTGTTAGTCTTGTCAGTTTATGATCTGTGAAGACTGAGTCTAAATTCTCTGTTTTTCTCTTTTTTTTTGCATTTTATCTCTCACTAGCTAGATTTCATATGTGCCTCAGTATTTTTTATTTATATCACTTTCCCCACCTGAAAATTCACTATGTGAAGATACTTAAAAAACAAGCAAGTTTTTTTCTTACTTATAGTTGATTTAATATAAATGAATTTATTTACAAAACAGAAACAGATTCATAGTCATAGAAAAGAAGCTTTTTAAAGAAGCATTTAATTATCTTATTTGGCATTGAATCTCTAGTGCCTGGCACATTGCAGTGTTCCCGGAATGATGTTCCACTGAGTAAGACTATGCAGATATGAAGAAAACACATATTTTATTAATACTGTTAGAATGTTATGTTTATGCATAGGACATCTATGAAAGGATCACAGAAAAAAACGGGCAACAGTGGTTGTGGTCGCTGAGGAGTAGAATAATAGGACTGAGGAAGGGATGATGAGACTTTCTATCAATCATAATTTTTGAATTTTTTTTTACCATATATGGAAATTCTAATGCTTTAAAATTCTAACCGTAAAAATTTTTAATCACTGTACTGTTAATCACTGTACTTCCCAAGCCTTGCTGATTCTTCTGTACCAAGAATTAATCTTATTTCATCTTTTATAGGCCTTATCTAAAAGCCAAGAATAATTGCCCGAATCCACCACCTTCTAAATCTGTAAGTAGAAATTAGTCTTTTAAAAAATATCTGTTTTGGATGATTAGCAATAAAAATAACAAACATGTTAACAACCTAAAGAACATGTTTTTCAAAGGTATTTACATAAATATAAGAACAGTTTGGTTTAGTAAGCAATACTATCATTTTTTGAAAAGTACAACATACTATAGTTCAGTTTATTAGCCAAAAAAAATCTTTAAGTGCACTTTTGTCCTCTTAACATTTATTGAATACTTACTATGTGTCTGGAACTTTTCTGACTTGCATTAACTCCTTGAGTCCTTACAACCTTATGAGGTAGGACTATTAGTAGCCCATTTTACAGATGAGGGAACTGAGTCACAGAAGGGTTAAGTTCCCAAGGTCACATAGTTATTAATCTCTTAATAGGTTGATAGGCTGAGAGCCCATGGTCTTAACTACTTTGGTATGCTGCCATGAAGTTAAATAGCTCAGTAGTCATTAAAAGAGAACATCTGTGTTGGATCTTCCAAGGTACTTAACAAACCTGTGCTTCCCAATCAGTTCGGTTCAGCTAGACTGTGGATGGAATGATAAAAAGATCCTAACATACTTAAGGTTTTAAAATGGGAGAAATTATCCTCCTGAAAATGGCACAAATTGTTCATCTGCAATAAAATAATCAATAAAAATCCCAACTTTAATTTTTAAAACCATAGTTTTATCTAAGTTCAAGTGTAATTGAAATAATGTTGCCCAATGTGTGACACTGGTGCCAGTTTTCATAAGTTTTAATGATTCGTTCATTAAATGTACACACACACACACACACACATATACATATATACCTATATGCATAGGCATGTATATATCATATATAGATTATATATGTTATGTGTACACGTGACATCATTAGACACTGTGGAGGATAGAAAATGCATAGAAAGCAAAAGTGGTGCATGATGATGTGAACAGTTGAGAATTACTGGGCTAGACTTTTTTTTTTATATTTATTTTTTATTTATTTATTTTTGGCTGTGTTGGGCCTTCATTGCTGCACAGGCTTTCTCTAGTTGCGGAGAATGGGGGTTACTCTTCATTGTAGTGCATGGACTTCTCATTGAGGTAGCTTCTCTTGTTGCAGATCACGGGCTCTAGGCGCACAGGCTTCAGTAGTTGTGTCATGTGGGCTCAGTAGTTGTAGCTCATGGACTCTAGAGCACAGGCTCAGTAGTTGTGGCGCACGGACTTAGTTGCTCTGCGGCATGTGGGATCTTCCCGGACCAGGGAATGAACCCGTGTCCCGTGCATTGGCAGGTGAATTCTTCACCACTGTGCCACCAGGGAAGCCCCTGGGTTAGACTTCTGCTTTAGGAAGATTTAACTGGTATAGTATGCAAGGCTTAAAAACTCTGTTGGAAGGGGCCCTCATTAAGAGCTCCCAGAAGGTTTGCTCGAAGCTGACAATACTGATTTCAGTAAATCATCTCTTAAATGAGGTGATACCTACCCTTTTCGGTAGATATCACAGTAGTGAAGATAAAAATGAAGTGGGGAAGGCAATTATGGAACTTGGGAGAAACTCAACGTACTAGGCAAATAACTCATCATTACAATTGTATAAGGCTTCACAATTTATAAAACATTTTTTATATATAACCATAAGAGTTAACATTTGAGTACTTATTATTATGCAGATACTGGATGAGACACCTTACATACAATATCTCAATTAATATTCAAAACAGCGCTATAAGCAGGGTGGTCATATGATTTAATGTCCAGAGACCTTTGAGAGTAAAAGGAAGTGCTATTAATATGTTGGGCCAACAGGCATAAATCAAAACTATCTTGCAAAAGCCAGGACTTTATAGCACCTTCCCTAGATTATAGATATTATTATTCCCATTTTACGGATGGGAGGACTGAGGCTCAAGGAGATTGGCCACATTTATACAGCCAATAAGGACCTGAACAAAGCTTTTCTGGCATACTCTTAGTGTACTGTTACCATGCCTCACTTTTTGAAATTAACAGCCTCACCATAACTGTTTCAGGTTTCATTCTGGCACACAAAGGAACACACAAAAGAAGTTTTTCATTTTCTGTTCCTATCAGGAGTTTTAACATATTTGAAAAGATTCCTTGGAGCCATCCTCTTGGATTTGTTGAGAAACAGTAGTGTATAATAGTTAAGAAACTGCCTTGGTCCAAATCCTGACTCCTTTGTTTTCTAGCTCAGGGACCTTGGGCAAGTTATTTAACTTCATCTGTGAGATGGGAATAATAGGAGGTTTCTCACAGAGTTGTTTGAAAGGATTGAGTTAATGCAGATTGAAGTACATTTAGAAGTGTCTGCATATTGGGATATGTGTTCCTCTGGAGGTGCATAAAGCATCTCCAGCAGGTACACATTTTAACAGAACCAATTTCCACATCTTCAGCTTCCATAGGTGCTTTTGCCCAAAATTGATTTGTCATCGAATGTGCTTCAGTTTCTCCTTTCCCACCTCCCTTGACACTCCCTTGTCATCCTTCTTCCACTTTTCAGTTCTTTCTCTGCTTGTTTTGCCCAGGGATGGAAATATGTACCTCCAAAGTACAAAATCAAGGGACACTTTGAAATAATGGTGGTGATGTTCAGAAAGCCTTTTGCAGTTCAAGCAGCTTCCAGTTCTTTGCATTCAACATTGTCATGTGGAAGAACATTAAAAATAATTTTTTGCTGAGAGATCACTGCATGACTTTTAGCATATGCCTCTGGATGAGTTCAAAGAATTGACTGTAATTGCTGTAACAAAACATCTTCTATTCCCATCTACTTGATAATGTGCACAAATTTTCTGTGTTTTTATTTAAAAAGCCAAAGGAATAAAACTGATGAAGACCTCTGTCTCATTCTAGCAATAAATAATATAATGTCTTCCAGTGAATACATGAACTAATTGTGGGGGGAAACCTCCAGCCAACTCACTAAGAGATATTTCCATTTCTTTATGAAAAAGTATTTTACTCTTTATACTTAATAATTATTGATCAAAATTGGTAACATTTATCTTCTTTGGCTGAATTATTTATAGTTATGGTAAATACAGATTAAGGTAAATTTATAGACATATATTTGTTGAGAAGTATGATAGGGTAATGGATTATAAACTTCCAAGCACAAATATCTAGTATAAAAATTTTGTGGTGAACTGGAATGAGAACAGACCAGGAGAAAAAAGAAAGGTATTATCTTTTCAGTTGTTAAAGAAGAGTGTGTTTCTATAGTTTTTAAATGGATTATAGTGGGTATCAAATTTCATTTCATCTTGAAATGTCAATATTGACAGTGTGCCTGAAATTACATATTTGCAGCTATTTAAACTAATGATGAAAAATGTTAGCTATTAACTTTTAAAAGTATAGGAAGGCACAGAGTTTGTCAAAATTATTTTGGGAGTGTATGAACAAAAATGCTTGAAAACCACCAATCAGATGAGCTTTACAATCCCTCCCAGCCCTATTACAGCCCTCATGTCTTCGTATCGTAATTTTCTGTTAGCACTCCTCAGGGGCATGTGTCATCTTGTCATCTTTGTATCCCCTTGCAGTCTAGCACAGTGCCTAGTACAGATGCAGTAAATCTCTCCTGATTTAAATCCTAGTCATATCCTTTGTGAATTTTCTCCCTTCTCTGGCTTCATATGTACAGAATGAAGTGACCAAATTCAATTTGTGTCACTTGTTCCTTCTTGTACATTCTTTGTTTTTTTTTTAATCAGATCTATCTGACGTGAGTTGTCTGAGGCCAGGAGTCAGAGACTGAAGTTCTATCCCCAACCCTGCCTCTTAACACCCTGCCTGACCTTGGGCAGCTCACGTTCCCTCTCAGATGAAGGGGCTCAATTTAATGATCTCCAAAATCCCTTCCAGCTCGAATGGTGTGTATTTGCCTATTGATTGCAGGCTATTCTGCTAGCCTAATGACTCTTCTAAGCCTAGTTTTTCTCTCAATGAAGTACTTGAAACTAACTGCATGACCAGTTCTACCACTTACAGTAAGTTAGCAAGGCCAGGTTGATCTAAAATAAAGATATAAAAACTGTACAAGAGAGAAAATATTTGCAAATCTTATATATGATAAAGATCTAGGACCCAGGATAAATAAAGCACTCTTACAACTCAACAATAAAAAGACAGCCCAATTTCTAAATGGACAAAGGATCTGAATAGAAATTTCTCCAAAGAAAGTATACAAATGGGAAATAAGGACATGAAAAGATGCTCAACATTAGGGAAATGCAAATAAAAATCACAGTGAGATACCACTTCACACCCACTAGGATGGTTATAATCAAAAAGACAGATAATATGTGTTGGGGAGGATGTGGAGAAATTAGAACCCCTATGCATTACTGGTGGGAATGTAAAATGGTGCAGTACCTTTGGAAAATAGTTTGACAGTTCCTCAGAAGTTAATCATAGAGCTACCATATGACCCAGCAATTCCACTCCTAGATATATACCCAAGAGAGTTGAAAACAGAGATACACACACACACACAAACACACAAAACTTATAGCAAATATTCATAGCAACATTATTCATAATAGCCAGAAGGTGGAAATGACCCAGATGTCCATCAATTGAATAGATAACCAAAATGTGATCTAGCCATAAAATGGAATATTTATTCAGCCATAAAAAGAAGTGATGTGCCTGTGTGGGGGCAAGGAATATAGGGGAAGTCTCTGTACTTCCACTCAATTTTGCTTTGAACTAAAACTGCTCTAAAAATGAAGTGGGTTTTTTTGTGTTTTTTTGGTTTTTTTGGTTTTTGGGGGTTTTTTTGTTTGTTTTTTTTTAGGTACGCAGGCCTCTCACTGTTGTGGCCTCTCCCGTTGCAGAGCACAGGCTCCGGACGCGCAGGCTCAGCGGCCATGGCTCACGGGCCCAGCCGCTCCACAGCACGTGGGATCCTCCCAGACCGGGGCACGAACCCGTGTCCCCTGCATCGGCAGGCGGACTCTCAACCACTGCGCCACCAGGGAAGCCCTAAAGTTTATTATTTAAAAAATAGAGTAATGAAGTGCTGATACATGCCACAACACGGGTGAATCTCAAAAACATTATGCTAAGTGGAAGAAGCCAGATTCGAAAGGCCACATATTATATGATTCCATTTATATGAAATGTCCAGAATAGGCAAATTTATAGAGACAGAAAATAGATTACTGGTTGTCCAGATCCGTGGGGAGGAGGAAATGGGGAGTGACTTCTAATAAATGTGGGATTTCTTTCTGCAGTGATGAAAATGTTCTGGAATTAGTGGCGATGGTTGTACAGTCTTTTGAATATACTAAAACCCACTGAATTGTATGCTTTAAAATGGTGAATGGGGTACAAATTATATGTCGATTTTTTTTTAATATACAAAAAAGAACGAGTAAGGAATAGCACATAATTGGAAAGTTTATACCAACATCCCTGCCTCTTCAGTAAGCAGTAATGAGCAATAATGGGGAGAGCCGAGGTTGATGTAAACGTTGGGGCTCAAGGAGTAACCCAGCTGTGGCCGCGTGAGCACACCGTCTGTCTCTCTGCCTCCCGCCCCCTGCGCTCCCCTAGAGTACCCATGAGCAACAGTGCACATGCCCCGGCCATCCTAGGGTGGCCATCTCTTCGCCCTTAAGGACAAGTGGTTCTAGTTACAGACGTCCTTTACACGTTCACAAAGCTTACATAGTAATTACTCATCATATTATCAAACCAAAAATAGAGGACAGTAACTCTAGCACTGCCATATCTTTCCCTGGATAGTCTACAAATCTCTGCCAAATTCTCCTTTCTGAGTAACTGCGTTCAATGCAGATGCTCCAGAATCCACAGTGGCCTGTCCCTGTTATTTACCATATTCATTCTAAACACCCCTCCCTAGTTTTAAAAGTTCTCTGCAACCTAGTCCTACCTTTCTTATCCAAAATTAAATCACATGACTGAAATATTTACTTGTTAATAATGTACAATCTAACCTTAGAACCCTTTCCTGACTTCACAAATATGACTGACTTTCTGCTGAGATGTTAGGTACTTATTCAGAACTGTTCCAGAGTATCTCAGGACTCCCAGCATATCCATACCACTGATCTCCAGGATGAGACAAAGTTTCTTGAGTGACACTCTGACCTTTACAAAGGCAGTGTTGTTTTAAGAAAATTAGTGTAGCAATGCAAAGTACTAGGAGGAACTTGGGAGGTACCCTAACATAAGTCTGTTATGTATGTATCTTTCCAGAGTCCCTAGAATGACACTTCACTTGGATATAATGGGCATTCAGCAAGTACTTGTTTGATGGAGCCAAATTTATTTTTTTAAACAGCAATTTTTATGTGTTCACTGCATCTCTGCTGAATTCTATCAAGCTAAAAGATTCTAATGTATTTCTAATAGGAGCTCCAGTTATAAAAATCATCTATTAGTGAGTCTTTTATTTTCTCAGGATTCAATTCTCTTAAATGAAATTATAAACAAAATAACTAGTTTTTTTATTTTAAAAACAGTGGACTGTTGTTATGAGTTTACTTTTTTTATATCTTTCTCTGTCTTTTTAGACTATTAGACCTAAAAAGGATGTTACCAACCATGTTGCTTTGCCTGTCAAAGCTACAAGACCCATCAGCATTAAACATCAGTCCAGACCTGCCAGTATCACAGGGTCCCAGAGGCCAAAGTTGGAGCCACCAAAACTTCTGGGCAGAAAAAGGCTCACTTCAGAATGTGTTTCTTCTAACCCAAACCGTAAGCCTTCCGGAAGTAGTCAACAACACCATGAATTTGGATCATCCACTACTGGAGAACTGTCAAGAAAAACCATGGGGTCACTTAATATACAGGAATTGAAAACTAAAAAGCAGCAGGTAACACAACAAGGAACTGCTAAGTGTACAGACTCTGTGGACAACACCCATGTTGAAAATGAATCCCTGGGTAGCTGTGTAAAAGAGATGAACAAAGAGAACTTGCCCCAAATCTTACCAGACTCTGGGAGGAAGCCAAATCCTGAATTAGGCACCGTCAGTAAGCCAAAAACTAATCAAACCAAGAGCAGTGTGGCTCCTACTGAAGAAGTCTTGGGCAAAAGGTCAGTGCACGGTGCTGTGCTGAGAGACAGAGCCAGCAGACAATTCCTCGGAGACACACAGATCAGGATTCCACCAGAGGAGGCTCAGCAGCTCTCTAGAGGAATAGATCTTGCAAGACCAGGGGGAAAACCCCCAAAAATAGTTTCCTCTCACTTTGTCCAGACACTTAACAGGACTCGAGCATCAAAGAAAACAGTGGTTAAGGACATAAAGAATATAAAGGTTAATAGGGGTAAGTATGAAAGACCAAATGAAACTAAGTTACAGTCATGCACTGTTACTGAACAGAAAGTAAAACATAGCAAACCCAGCACATACCCCAAAGTGCTTCAAAGAGGATGTAACAACAGACATCCAAACACAAAGCAAGATCATAAACCCACGCAAGCTTGTTGTAGACGTCGGACGTCATATGTACTGCAAAAATCAAAAGCCATAAGCCAAAGGCCTAATTTGACAGTTGGCAGCTTTAACTCAGTCATTCCAAGCACCCCTAGCATAAGAGCAAATGGAGCCAAAGGGAATAAATGCAACAACAGCTGTCAACAAAAAGCACGGACTTTGGACTCCAAGTTGAAAAGGGCTCTTCCCCAGAACTGTTTTCTAAACAAGACAGGTCCCAGAACTCAAGCTGGTGGCACAACCGTAAATGGAAGAGGACTCCCAAATGGGACCCAAACTAATCCAAGTAAGAAGACCACAGCAGAGGATCGAAGGTACTTTATTTTAATTCCAAAATTTTGCAAAGTAAGATGACTGGGCAAATTGACCATCAGGAGTGCTAAAGTCAGGAGATGGGTCATAAATAATGGCTCCTGAGTAATTTTTAGCTGTAACTCTGAAAAACAGACAAAGCAAATATGAAGACTTGATAGAGCTGGGTGGTACATACATGTGTTCAAATTGTTCTCTGTAATTTTCTGTATGCTTGAAATAATTTATTTTTTAAAAAAGAAATTGAAACAGAACAGTTGGATAAGAAGTAGAGGTTGCAGAGGTAGACCATTCATGCAAGAAGTGCCCTGCAGGGACTGAACAGCAACAGAAGAGGCAGGGTAGGAGGAGCCAGAGTAGTGAACTTACACCGCTAGGAAGTGCGGACATGGTAGCCCCTTGTCAAGCCAACTAATGTGAAATCCGAAAAGTTATCAGAGAAGAAGGAGCAGGAAACTTCTATGAGTCTGAGCAGGCCAAGTTTTGGAAAGTACGCTAAGGCAGAGAGAAGTAATCAGTTCACATACAGAGTTCAGATGTTAGAAGTCAGGATCTCAGGCTGCTGGGAGTTAACATTAACATGTGTGATGCTTGAAACTGAGCCAAAGGATTTCATACACTTTCTGAACAGGACCAGACATATTCTGATGTTGTGGTGAACCTCCCAGGAGAAGCACCTCTGTACACTGGATTGGAGTAGAAAATAAGGAGATTCCTGGCAAGGGCAAAAGGAACACGTAAAATTAGATGGTAGCTAAAAGGTATAGCAGAGTGAAGTGAGGGCAGGATTTATTCTCTGAATACAGCCCTGAACACCACTGACAAGCTCTCTGCCCTCCTGAAGAGACAGAAAATAACTTAATTCAGGGTGATGCGATTGAGAGAGGGAGGCTGGGATGACTTTAGATAGATAGATAAAGGTCAGGGGAGGTACTTTGAACAGTGACATCTGGACTGGGAAAAAGACAGTGACAGAGGGCTTCCCTGGTGGTGCAGTGGTTGAAAGTCCGCCTGCCGATGCAGGGGACACAGGTTCATGCCCCGGACCAGGAAGATCCCACATGCCACAGAGCGGCTGGGCCTGTGAGCCATGGCCACTGAGCCTGCACGTCCGGAGCCTGTGCTCTGCAGTGGGAGAGGCCACAACAGTGAGAGGCCTGCGTACCACAAAAAAAAAAAAAGGACAGTGACAGGAAGAAGGATGAGTCTTCTGAGCAAAAAGAAAACTGAATGCAAAGGCCTTGAGCTGATGAATGAGGAGGTTAGGGTCCCTACCCTGGAGCTTTGCAGTGTAGACCAGATAACAGACGATGGATCCTAAGATAGATTACAGTTGGGCCAAGTTGATGACAAAAAATAGGAGGAGTCTGTGGAGAAGGATAGATCACTCTCTCATTCCTCGAGTGTTCCTTTAGCACCTACACTGGGAGATACAGTGATCAGCACACAGTCATAGTCTACTATTAGGGAACATTTTTTCTGGTGTATATATGGAAAGTACTAGAATAATAAAGCCAGGTCCTAGGAATATGTTAGCTTTAGAAAAAGCAAGTTCCCTCTTCATTTATGATTAGAAGCAAGGCTAAGGAGATAAGAAGAATGCTGGGAACATAGGGGAAACACATGCCAGATGACTTAGCTTCTGTCATGAAGCCGGTGAAGGTAAAGGGGAAGCAGTTAGGGCTGATATAAGCACTGTGTGGACTGTGCTGAGAAAGCAAGGGAGAAACAAGAGAGTCAATAGTTACTGATTTTCTCGGGGGCTTCCCTGGTGGTGCAATGGTTAAGAATCCGCCTGCCAGTGCAGGGGACACGGGTTCAAGTCCTGGTCTGGGAAGATCCCACATGCCACGGAGCCGCTAAGCCCGTGCGCCACAACTACTGAGCCTGCACTCTAGAGCCCATGAGCCACAACTACTGAGTCCACGTGCCATGACTACTGAAGCCCGCACGCCTAGAGCCCCTGCTCTGCAACAATAGAAGCCACCGCAGTGAGAAGCATGCGCACCGCAACGAAAAGTAGCCCCCGCTCGATGCAACTAGAGAAAGCCTGTGTGCAGCAGCGAAGACTCAATGCAGCCAAAAATAAATAAATAAATAAAATTTTTTTTTTTGATAGTTACTGATTTTCTGGAAAAAGCAAAGCTATTAGGACAGCAAAGCGATCAGTGACTGCTGGGGGCTGGCATGGGTGGCAAGGTTGACCACCGAGGAACACAGGCATTTTTGAGGGTGTTATATCTTGATTGTAGTCACAGTCACATGATTTCATGCATTTGTCAAAACTCACAGAACTGTGTACCAAAAAAGGTGAATTTTACTGTAATTAAACACGTGTTCTAAACACTATGCTAGGCACTGGGACATCCAAGGTTTCTGTCTTCATAGACCTTGGATTCTAGTGGAAAAGATAGAAAATCAACATGTTGATTAAGACAGCATAATTACAGAAAATTACCTCTTCAAGGAGTTATCATTTGAGCAGAGGACTGAAGACAGACAACACAGGACCCTGAGGGAGGAATGAGCTTGGGTTAAGTAACGGAAAAAATGCCAGAGCTCCTGGAAGGCAGTGAGTGAGGGGGACAGTGGTGTAACATGAGGTTGTAGGCAGGAACCAACCTGCACTGTACCTCCAGCCACAGAGAACATTTTGAATTTTATTCCAAGAGCCATGGAAAGTACCTGGCCATGACTGGTTTACTTTATAAAGATCACTAGCTGCTGTGCACAGGATGCATTTGAGAAGGGTTAGAGTGGAAGAAAGGAGATGAGTTAGGAGGCTGCTGCAGCATTTCAGGCAGAAGGTGACAGTGATCTGGACAAGAATGGTGGTAGTGGAGATAGAATCAATACTGATTATATGATGATGTATTGGACGTGGGGAAAAGAAAGGACTACTCAAGACAACTCCTCGTTTTAGGCCCTAGCAACTGGGTAGATTGGGGCACTGTTTACCAATGTAGGGAAGGCTGTTTGGGAAAAGATTTGGAGATGAAAATCGAGAGCTTCGTTTTGAACAATATTAAATTTTAAATGCCTGCCAGACATCAAATAGAAGTTATCGGTTAGGCACTGGAGTTTACAAAGTTTGGGACCCTAGAGAGTGATCTGGGCTGAAATGTACGTTTGTGAGTCATAAACATGTAGTTGTGATTTAAAGAAACTGAAGAGCCTACATTCAGATGCTTGGGCCTACATGTCTTGGTGACTCCTTCAACAGTAGTCTGTGGACTGCCTAGGAGCAGGAGTGGAGAGTGAACAGTGTGGGGAGAGCGAGGATTAGGACGTGGCACCATCAGAGACTAGCTACTTAAGAAAAGAGCCCTGCAATTATTGATCTCATTGGGGAAGAGGGGGTCATGTGTGGTAGGAGAGGGCTAAGGAACTGGGCAAAGTGGGTCACTCTGAGTGGCCACGACCCTGCTGAGGGCAGAATACAGGTTTGGTGAGTCTGGTTGAGTGGCAGATACAAAGCTCATGATAAGAGAAATGGAGTGCTGAGTTAATGATCTCAGAGATAGAGGGATGTCTTAGGACAGCAATTGTCAGGAGTAGCATACAGGTAAAAATTTTCAGAGAAAAATATTGAAAAATAAACAGGAAATTAAGGAGTTTGAAGATTGAAATGCTATAACCACCTGTTGTAATCCAACTAATCCATCTGGCATCTGCCTTCTGAAGGGTGGGGGCAACCAGTGCTTCCAATACCAATTGGTAAATTATTTTTAAAACATTCTCCTGACTTTCTAGTTGAAGGTGTTCAGTGATAATCTATGCATGTCATACTTTAGAAGCTTAACCGTGTACCAAAAAAGACCCCTAAAACCATCCCCCTTTTTAATTGTATAACAGGAAACAGTTGGAAGAATGGCAGAAATCTAAGGGGAGGATCTATAAACGGCCTCCTATGGAACTTAAAACAAAAAGAAAAATAATAGAGGAAATGAATATTTCATTCTGGAAGAGTATGGAAAAAGAAGAGGAAGAAAAGAAAGCACAACTTGAACTATCCAGTAAAATTAACAACACTCTGACAGAATGTCTGCAGCTCATTGAAGGGGTGAGTGAGAACAATAAGCTCCCAAAGCTTTGCTGAATCTTAGAGTTTTTTAAACATTTTTGTTAAATATAGTGTAGGGGAGATAACCTCTGTCTAAGCAGAAATTTAGCTCCTCCTTTTAATAGAGAGGAAGGATAGTAATAATAAAAAACCTGTACTTAAATAATGACTCTTGTATGCCAGGTACTGTTCTAAGCACTTTACTTATATTATTTCATACAATTACATAATGACTATTACGATATTCACTTTACAAATGAAGCTGAGGCACAGAGAAGTTGGGAAATTAACCCAAGTAGCCTGGCTCCAGAGGGATTCAAAAGGAACTCTGCCTTCTTCAGGTATTGAGGTCCAAAGAGTAAACATTTGACATTTAGATATGAAGCTAAAGTCAAAAGGCAAGGCCGCATGTAGAATTAGATTATCCTAAGGTCTCTAGGTAGCTATGAATGGCATCTAAATTGTATCTTGGATTTTGCAGATAAGGATAAAGTAAATGGTAAGCAAAGGGTATGATCCTTAGGATATTCCTTGAAGGAAAAATATATTAATAAAAAATAACTGGATAGACTTCTATACTAAGGTCCTTGCCTGAAGCAAACTCAGTTCTGTCGTTTGACTGGTAGTATTGTATATCAGCAAAAAAAAGGAAACCTTCAAATTAGCTCTACTCTGGGCAGTTTTTTCATTAGATTCAGTTAAACATTAACTACTTCTCTTTTGTGGAATTAAACTTCAGTTCTTTTTTTGTTCTTTCTCTTGTTTTCATTGCATTAAAAAAATACCTGAATACATTTTTATTATTAAAAGCATTTCAGATAATACAGGTAAATTACTCCCAGCACTTGCGCAGGTGCACGCACACACACAAGGTACGCACCCCAGGCTTCTCCCTGGAGGTGACCACTACTGCCCATTATCCTTCCAGACAGTTTTTATGCATTTGCTTAACAGTATAGGTATGTAGAGAAATGAAGCATATGGTTTTGTGAGTTGCAGTTATTTCAGATTTTTATGTGTGTTCTTTGGTTGTCTTTTCTTGTGTTTTCCTAGTATCAGTATTATGCTGGCTTTGTCAAATGAGTTGGGTATTTTCCTTTTTTCCTATACCCTGAAAATACTTTATTTGCAATTGAGATTCATTAGAATTATTTTGTTCTTTGAAGGTTTGGTAAGAACTTACCTCTAAAATCATCTGGACTTTGGGGGATAATTTTCTGTTTTTTCAATTTTTTCCATGGTCATTGGTCTATTTAGGTTTTGTATTTCTTGAACCAATTTTAGTAATTCTGTGCCTTTTATTTAAATCAGACTTGCTAAAGATTTCTCTATTCATCTTTTTAAAAGGCCATCTTTTGGGTTTTATTTTTTTCTCTTGCATCAGTGTCTGCATCTATTTTTATGTTTATTTTTCTTTTCTAGCTTTTTTAGTTGAAAGCTTAGAGCATTTATGTCAGTCTTTCTTATTTTATTAAAAATATTTTTTAGGGCTTCCCTGGTGGCGCAGTGGTTGGGAGTCCGCCTGCCAATGCAGGGGACGCGGGTTCACGCCCCGGTCCGGGAAGATCCCACATGCCGCGGAGCGGCTGGGCCCGTGAGCCATGGCCGCTGAGCCTGCGCGTCCGGAGCCTGTGCTCCACAATGGGAGAGGCCACAACAGTGAGAGGCCCGCGTAACGCAAAAAAAAAAAAAAAAAAAAAATATTTTTTAGTGCTGTCAGTTTGCCTCTGAATTTAGCTTTGGTCATATCCTTCATGTTCGACTAGGTAGTGTTTTGTATCAGAGTCAAGTCAGAAAAACAGAAACACAAGGTATCTCAATAGAAAGAATGGAATATGAAAGCTGGTTTCACAGTGTCTTAGGTGAGTGTCCTTGAAGCAGACCCTTCAAGGAAGAAAGGGGAACAAAGAGAGGTTGGGGATATCAGAACCTAGCAGCTAGGAGAGACAAACCCTGGAGGAAGTGGGACTCCAACTCTAAGGAGGGCATACTACTAGCAACGCTGGTGCCACCGGAGCTGGAGGAGGGGCCCTGCAGGGCTGGGATTCAGACCTTGAGAAAACGATGCTAGCTAGCCGGTTGGTGCTTTTGCCTCTGAAGGAGCACAGTGAGGCGGAGTCTGTGAATGCCAGGGTAAAAAGGTAGAGGCTGCAACCAACTGCTGTTGCCACAGTGAAGGACCATTGCTGGGGTGATGAAAGCAAATGGGAAAGAGGCAGTCCCCTCTCTTCTCCAGCCCTGCAACCTCCCTCTAGTGCCCCATACTGGCCGAGCCCATCAGAGAACTGCTGTCAAAGCAGAAAGTGATTTATAGAATTCCAGCACATTTACAGAATTCTGCACAACAAAGCAGAGGATAAAAGGTGGGTTTAGAGCTAAGAGATCATAGCCTAATAACTGACATGTTCTCATTTTCATTTCTAGTTTGAGATTTCCATTTTGAGTTCTTCTTTAATCCAAAATTATCTTAGAAGAGTATCTTTTAACTCCCAGATATGTAGTTGGTTTTGTTGGTGTTGGGTTTTGGGGGCTTCTTTTTTTGTTTTTTCTGGGTGTCAATTTTTAATTATACTGCATTGTGGTTGGTGAATGTTGAAATTTTCTTTCTGGTCTTAATGTCTGATCAGTCTTGGTGAATGTTCCAAAAGTGTTTGAAAAGGATACGTATTCTCTGTTGAACAGAAAATTCTACATGGGTATCCATTGCTCTCTGAAAGAAATATGCCAGAGTCTGTCACTGGCACTGTGATTTGTCATTGATAATTTCATTTTGTATTTCTGTCAACATTTACTTTCTACTTTTCAAAGTTACGTTGTTAGGTACTAAAGATTCATGACTTGCTTTGATTTTTCTTTTGTCTGATATTAATCTTGCCACACCTGCTTTGTTGTTCTTACAATTTGTCTAGTAAATTTTTTTCTATTCCTTTATTTTTAAAGGTATGTCTCATGAATACATACAATTTAATTTCTCTAACCAAATCTGGAACTCCCTGCTTTTAAAAAAGTGCATTTAACCCATATACATCTGTTGTAATAATTACGCATATGTTTAACTTTATCTCTGCCGTTTTATTTTGTAATTCAACTTACATGAATTATTTTTTGGTTTATTTTCCCTCATCTCTTTATCCAGTTTTCTTTATTTCATAACGAAAGCATATAAATTGAAATCACAAAAGAAAGTGGTAAGTGTGAGTTCAAACATGGTATGCAGGTTATATATTCTTCTCGTGGTTACTTTTGTTTCAAGTCTTCCACTTGAATTCTAAAGTTTGTTCACTAGTAACTTTATGTTTTTGAATGGTAAACTTTCTGAGTTGTTATGCTTGTAAAAATGTCATTATTTCACCCTCCTGCTGGATTCATAGTTTGGCTGGGGGAAATTTCTAAATTCACATGATCTTCCCTGGAAAATTTGAAGTTACTCTTTCATTTTCTTTCTTACATCTGGAATTGTTGATTTATTAAAGTCTCATGTCAATCTAATTCTCATTCCTGTATAGGTAATCCTTTTTTTCCCTTCTGGAAGGATTTAAGATTTTCCTTTATCCCTTTTTTTTTTGGTAACTGGCCATACCATGCAGCTTGCAGGCCCTTAGTTCCCCGACCAGGGATCGAACCCACGCCCCCTGCAGTGGAAGCATGGAGTCCTAACCACTGGACCACCAGGGAATCCCCTCCTTGGTTTTCTAAGTATGGGTCTTTTTTCATCCATCTTGCTTAGCTCTCTGAGGACCTTGCAGTCTGAACACTTGTTTCTTTGTTCAGTCCTTGGGAATTTTCTTCTACAACTGCTTTGAGTGTACGTTCTGCTTTGTTCTTTCTCTACTTTTTCTTCTAGAAATTCTATTACATGGATATTGGAGTTCTTGAGTAATAGATGTATCCTCCAGAACTCTTAACTTTTCTTTTATACTCTTCATTTCTTTGTTCTGTTGCACTGGGTTCTGGAAGAATTCCACAGCCAAATTTTCAGCGCACTGATTTATTCTTCAGCAGGGTCCATGCCACTGTTCTGCCTTTCTATTGATTCTTTTTCACAGCATTCGTTCTAGTTTTATGATGGCAGTATTCTCTTATCACTCTGAAGATATTGACTACAGGTTTGTTTGTTTTTTTAACATCTTTATTGGAGTATAATTGCTTTACAGTGGTGTGTTAGTTTCTGCTTTATAGCAAAGTGAATCAGCTATACATATACGTATATCCCCGTATCTCCTCGCTCTTGCATCTCCCTCCCACCCTCCCTATCCCACCCTCACCCTTAGGTAGTCACAAAGCACTGAGCTGATCTCCCTGTGCTATGCAGCTGCTTCCCACTAGCTATCTATTTTACACTTGGTAGTATATATAAGTCCATGCCACTCTCTCACTTTGTCCCAGCTTACCCTCCCCCTCCCCGTGTCCCCAAGTCCGTTCTCTACTTCTGCGTCTCTATTCCTGTCCTGACTACAGTACTCTTAAAATGTATTTCTCTTTGCTCCCTCAGCTGTTTGCTCCAGTGTTCATTCTTCTGGTTCTTGAGTTTTATGCCTCTTTCATGTAGTGTTGGTTTCCTCAAACATTAGTGATTCTTGACTGTGAGCTTACCCTTGTGTCTTTCCCGTCTCAGGAGAAGTAGGAGGTGCTGCCTGGCTGAGTGTGCCAGTGCCTGGCTTTCTGGGCATGTGGCTCTTCATATTCCTCCTGGTCCAGGTCACTGCGCTGCTCTTGGTACAAGGCAGAAGGGAACCAAGCCAGGGAAGCCATTTTAAAGTTCCTTTTTGTGGGATTTAACCCTCTTTATCTTTATATACACCTGTGTGGATCCCCAGCACACACACATATACACCCATGACCCTTGCATACCTTTGCCATCCTTCATTCTTCTGTTAGGGTCAAGCGGAAATTCTGGTCACCATTCAGTGTTCACATTATTATGAATGTGTAAGAAATACATGAATGGCTGATTACTCCAGGGTTTGGTTTGGTTTGGTTTTGGTTTTGCATAAAAATGGAGAACATATTTCTTACTTTCAACTATGATAAATATTTTTCTATTTGGTCTCTTAATTTAAAATTTAATGATCAGTGTCAAAATTCATCAAAACATGCTATTTAAACGGGTGCATTTTATATAAACTACTTCAATAAAATTCAATTTTTTTTTAATTCAAAAAAATATTGACCAGACTGATTTCTGCATACCTTCTATGATAAATATTAGGAGAGAATAACAGCAAGACAGTAATAATTACCTCCGTGTATTTCTCTTCTCCAGGGTGTACATTCTAATGAAATAGGCGCCATTTTGTCCAGTATTCCTGAGGCTGAAAAGTTTGCTCAGTTCTGGATCTGCAAAGCCAAGTTGTTGGCAAGTAAAGGCACCTTTGATGTCATTGGGCTATATGAAGAGGCCATTAGAAATGGGGCCAGAGTAAGTATCTACCTTGAGTGGGTGACTTCTTAAAACTTCTCTTTAATACGACTTCTCTGTTGTTTGCAAAATGGCGGCTATGTAATGTAATGTTGAAGCTTCTAATTCACTTCATTAAGTTATATGCAAAATATGACGTATGATATGTCCTTTATGAACATTTTAATTAAAATATTTATTTTGTAGAATATAGTGTTACATGTAAACCAATAGAATCACTTTCTTGTCAAGCGAATATGTCTCACTTTACACTCACTGTAGAAATAAGCACTTGTGAAAAGTAACAGCATAGGAAATTATAATGTAACGTCAATAGCCAATACTAAGAAAGTCATACCTCACCTAAAGAACCTAAAAATATATTAAACCCAACACATCAGTGTCCATAAATCAATAATTTAGGGCTATTTTATGAAATAACTTTTAATCCTAAAACCTAGTAAAACCACTGTCTATATATAATTTTTTTAAATAAATTTTTCTTTATTTTTGGCTGTGTTGGCTCTTCGTTGCTGCACGTGGGCTTTTCCCTAGTTGCGGCAAGCAGGGGCTACTCTTCGTTGCGGTGCATGGGCTTCTCATTGCAGTGGTTTCTCTTGTTGCGGAGCACGGGCTCTAGGCGCGCGGGCTTCAGTAGTTGTGGCTCGCAGGCTCTAGAGCACAGGCTCTAGAGCACAGGCTCAGCAGTTGTGGTGCACGGGCTTCGTTGCTCCGTGGCATGTGGGGTCTTCCCGGGCCAGGGATCGAACCCGTGTCCCCTGCATTGGCAGGCGGATTCTTAACCACTGCACCACCAGGGAAGCCCTATATATAATTTTTTTAACACAGACTGCATTAAATAGTTTCATAACTCTTTTCCCTATAATATCACTTTCCATGTCATTATATATTCTACCATACCTTTTCCATGATGGTTCAGAATCAGACTTGTCCATGGACATAGTTTAAATAAATAATTTGATAAGGTCTGTTCCATAAGGCCTGATTCCCTCCCCTCCCATTTCCCACTTCCCAGAGCAAACTGAGTATTTTGTCGCCTTGATAGTTTCAGATAGCACATGCTTATGTTACTATTTCTTGATTTTTCTCTCTTTAGACATGATTTGTAGACATCCAGCTACACAGGATGAGGATCTAACCTTCTTTCTCACACACACCCACACAGATCCCCAACACACACACATAGACACCCCTATCACCCCTGCAGACTTTTACTGTCCTCCATATTTCCGTTAGAGTCATATGGAAATTCTGGTCACTATTCAGTGTTCACATTGTTATTGACTATGTGAGAAATATGCATTGAGCCATGTGGTATATGCTGTGATTACTTTGCCTTTCAAGTATGGTTTCATGGTTTTCCTGAAATTATTTTCTTGTTTTCCCTTTGCTTAGTTTTCTGAGTATTTATTATATAATTAATTCCCATACTCTTCTATAATTATCTAAATTTCTCCATACTTTCAAAACATTCGATATTCTGTTGATTTCTTTTTCTCAGAGACTTTTCTCCCAGACCCTTCTTAATCTGTTCCAGGCTCAACAGGTTGTTCTTTACCCCTGTCTTTATTGTCTGTCCTTCTGGGATCTCCTTTCACCAAAACCCTCAGATTCCCGTTTCTTCCTGCATTGCCTGATTCTTCTCCAATACTTTTCTTCTCTCACCATTTTTTTTTGGTGGGTAGGGGGTTGTTCTCTATTGTTCATTAAATGCTTTACTCAGATGCCAGTGAAACTGGGCTGTTTCAATATAAGAGGTGGATTTTAAAAAGCTTGTTAAAAACTCTGGACACAGATGAGGCTTTACCGTAGGGTGATTTGGCTGAGTCAGTTGACTGAAGAACCCTCCATATCAGTGTCTTCAGGTCTTCCTCCTAAGACTGGTTATATTCTCTGAAGAAGCCTCATCCAGTCTTCTTCCCAGGAACTAGAAGCCAGGCTACAGGTGTTATGGGGGAGGAGAGAGCTGGGTGTCTCAACCTTCAGCGTGGAAACTTTCATTTATCCCTTTTATCAGTAGGCACTCCCACCCTCAATCTTGCATGATATCCCCCAGAGACTTGGAGGATACATGCCCAGTGTCCTGTTTGGATGAAGGTGGGAGGGGCACAGTCACCGGGCTGCATGGAGTTTAGGGATGCAGGGTGGATTTGGAGGTCTGACCGTATTTATTTATTTACTTGCTTACTTCCCAAGCCACGCAGCTTGCGGGATCTTTGTTCCCCAGCCAGGGATTGAACCAGGGCCATGGCCCTGAAAGCCGAGTCCTAACCACTGGACCGCCAGGGAATTCCCAGGTCTGACTGCTTTTTGACAGATGCTCAAGAGCCCTCCTGATTTTGACCCCTCCATCCATTCCTCAGCCTTTCAGGGGCTCTGGGGTTGAATCAGGTTCTTTCTTAGCCACACTGCCAGCTTAGAATTTGGCTCTTTCAAGTTGGTCAAACTGCTTACCTCTTCCTTCCACATTTGAGCTTCCAAAGTCTTGTTGCTGTTTCTTCTATTCCCTGTGGTTACTGCCTCCTTTTTAATCCCTTTAGTATAATTTCAGTAGAGTTTCAAGAGTGATTAGAAATAAATGTGTAAAAAATAAAAAGAAATGTGTACTCAATGCATCGTCTTTAGCTAGAAGCCTGTGAAAATGTAAAATACACTTGATGAGTGTTTTATATAATTAAGACCTTTTGCAGTATATTCTGTACATTTATTCCCATTTCTTAAGTTTACAGCCTTTTAGATTTTGTAAAAATGTATAGATAGCTTTGCTTTTATGCTCTGTTGTCAGTTTGTATCTGTTATTTACTTGATACAGAGTCCCAGGTCAGGAAGACCAGGCTCCAAATATCATGTTCCTATGAGAATGTACAACTCATTTACGATGTTCTGCTTCATGCTGGTTAACATGCTTTAAAAAGGATGGCTATCTCAGATAATTTTATCAGAAAATTACTATTCTATAATAGTTTTTTTTATTGTTTTTTACGTTATTTTACCAAATACAAGAAGAAAGGGAAGGCTGGGGGGAAATTGCCCAGAATGCCAACTAAAGGTTATATTTAGATGATGGGATTATGGGTGGTTTTCCTTTTCAAATTTGACCTATTGTTCAGTTTTCTGTAATAAGATATATGACTTTTGGGCTTCCCTGGTGGCGCAGTGGTTAAGAATCCGCCTGCCAATGCAGGGGACACGGTTCGAGCCGTGGTCCGGGAAGATCCCACATGCTGTGGAGCAACGAAGCCCGTGCGCCACAATTGCTGAGCCTGCGCTCTAGAGCCTGCGAGCCACAACTACTGAAGCCCGTGCACCTAGAGCCCGTGCTCCGCAACAAGAGAAGCCACCGCAATGAGAAGCCCACACACCGCCATGAAGAGTAGCCCCCGCTTGCCACAAGTAGAGAAAGCCCACGCACAGCAACAAAGACCCAATGCAGCCAAAAATAAATAAATAAAATAAAAAAGATATATGACTTTTATAATAAAAACAAAAATTCAGTTAAGACAACACTAAAAACATATGCCAAATTTTCTGTATGGCTCGCTTTACATCTTTGGATCAGAATCTTTATGTGGGAACACATCTTCAGTGGGATTATATAAGTCAGTAAGAAAATTGATTTAGAGAAATTTTATTATAGACAACTTTCCATAAATACATCTCTTCATTAAAGTCAAGCATGCCAAAAACAAGATGGCGGCGGCCACATGAGCAAACCCCCCACCCAGGTCTCCGCTGTCGTGGTCACTGCCACCACCCACGCCGCCAGCCCCTCCCGGCATTCCTCGCGCTCGCATATAGCGCGCCAGCTTCGCACCAACCAAAAAGTGTCACCTCGGAGCACAGGACCCACCACCCCGGAGAAGCCCAAGCCTACGTGTCGGAAGCCGGCACTCCCCCCAGTCGCACACCTCGCTCTCGCCCTGCGTGGCACACGTCAGTGGGGCGAGGAGCAGTCGCTCCGCAAGATGCACGCTGCTTACCTGGCAATTAAGTAAAAAGGCCAAAGAGGCAGCTACCGCCAAGAAGCCGAGAGACTGGGAAGACTCCTGATAAAGCCCTCCTGAAGCCAGTTTCTCGAATTCCCCACCAGCAGACCGTCTGAGGTGCCTTCTGCAGAAGAGGATGCTTCAGTCTACAGGAGTAAATCCCAATCCAACAGAACGATTATTTGCTGTCGCTCAGAGTTGCTGAACCCTTGATCCCCAGAAAGGACTTCCACAATACATCAATGCACTTACCCAAAGCAAAGAGTGTCTGAGCCCACTCCCCATGGTTGGTTCTCGTTCAGCCTTCTGAGTGTGTGAGCTACCTTTCCAATGAATGGATTTGACAGACTTTTCGTTTCTGAACTCGCCAGCAAGAAAGAATGGGGGCTTCCCTGGTGGTGCAGTGGTTGAGAGTCCGCCTGCCGATGCAGGGGACGGGTTCGTGCCCCGGTCCGGGAGGATCCCGCGTGCCACGGAGCGGCTGGGCCCGTGAGCCGTGGCCGCTGAGACTGCATGTCCAGAGCCTGTGCTCCGCAACGGGAGGGGCCACAGCAGTGAGAGGCCCGCGTACCGCAAAAAAAAAAAAAAGAAGAAATGGGTTAGTTTGCCCTCAGAGACTCTAAATATGTCATCCATAGAATGGACTTGTCCAGTCTGCTAAGGGTCAGCACCCCAAACACAGACTAGATTTAACTTTTGGACTACAGTATAGTATGCATCCACAAAATGGACTTGTCCGGCTTTTGCCATATCCAGACTTCTATGCCCAGGGTGGACGTGAAGAGATTTCACATTGTCCACATACGTACTAGTCTTAGCCCTCTGAGAACGTGAGCCCCCATGCAAAAATAAGAGGTACCTATTTACCTCTCAAAGTGTCGGAGGTCTGATCATATTTCACATTCATGACACATCGTCATGGTTGTTCTATGCGAAGCCTCTCATTTTATTTATTCTTTTATTCCTGTAGCCAACTATCATTCTCTTCCTCCCACAGTTAACTTTATTGAGTTTAATGTGTATCTCTTGGTGTGATTTCATATAAAATCTGCAATTTTGTGTAAAAAAAAAAAAAGTCAAGCATGCCAGCATTTAACCAACATTTTCTTTGTTCCTTTATTTTTCCCATAAAGCTAAAACTGAAACCTTTTAAATGTTATTTATAGTTAGACAAGAGATAAAAAGGGAAATGTTTCTGTTATAAAAAGTCTATTTGATGTTGAACAACAGCGTAAGTTCCTTAGATCACTTTTTTCCATGAATATTTTTACTACTGTTCATGTATTTTCTTCCTTCCAGCCAATACAAGAGTTGCGGAAAGTTGTCCTTAATATTTTGCAAGACCCAGACAGAACCACAGAAGGTACTACTATTTTGTATTTAAATTCATTCCCTCCAGCCACTCAAGTAGAAGTCATTGAGGAACACATAGCGGGTAAAAAAAGAATTGTAAGTCCCCTGAAATGCCTCTTGCTTCTTGGTTTCCATGGCCTGCCCTTTTGGCCTTCATCATCAGCTGATTCATTTCTATTCTATTATTACAAGTAAATATACTGCTCAACACCAAACAAAGGTTTCCACCAGAGCAGCCTAGACTAGGGTGTATTGCTTCCCTGGAGAGAAGGTGAGAGGAGAAGGCAAGTGACTCTTTTTTTTTTTTTTTTTTTGCGGTACGCGGACCTCTCACTGTTGTGACCTTTCCCGTTGCGGAGCGCAGGCTCAGCAGCCATGGCTCACGGTCCCAGCCGCTCCGCGGCATGTGGGATCTTCCCGGACCGGGGCATGAACCCGCGTCCCCCGTATCGACAGGCGGACTCTCAACCACTGTGCCACCAGGGAAGCCCAGCAAGTGACTCTTTACCAGAAGAGACTGAGGCAAATGGGAGAGGTGCTTTGGTTTAAGTTACATGTTTCATCATAACAAGCCCACCAACACGTATACATCCAAATTCATGTTATACCTTTAAATCATACCCATCTCAGGAATCATTTCACTTAATTCACCATTACTGTCATTGGCCAGAACCTTTAGAGAACTCTTCTATGAAAAATGTGCCAAATACAGTGAGTGACACGTTAATTATAATATTTGTTATATGAATGGGGGGAAAAAAGCTACCTTGAGAAAATAAAATGGATTATTTTTATAATCTTAGAAGGTGACAAATCTTTTTCAACTGTAGGTTTAGGGAATTGCCTGGCGGTCCAGTGGGTAAGACTCTGCGCTCTCACTGCCAAGGGCCTGGGTTCAATCCCTGGTCGGAGAACTAAGATCCCATGCGTGCCACGCAGCCAAAAAAAAACAAAGGGGTAGATTGACCTTTGGGGAACAATCACGTCATGAGGAATTACAGCCAACTAACCCATTACTTTTGGGAATAAGGTTGTAGAGTACCTATACTCAGTGGTCCTCTTGCTGAGAATGATGCTACAATTCAGGTATTTGTTTATAATGTGTGGCAGTGTTCTTCAAAGGGATAAAAAGAGGAGACAGGAATCCATGCCTTTCCCACCTCTTGGCCCCTGTTGGCCTCTCTTGGGGTCTCAGCCTCCAGCCACAGTATCTGTCTGTCTCAGCCTGATTTCCTTCCCTTAATTTTGGTTGTTATGGTTGGGCTATCATGCAAATTGTGTCAACACAAGACATTTTTTCACCTACTGTCCAAGGTGATAGCCATATGGTCACACCTGGGTAGGGAGGGATCAGAAGGTCAAGTGAATTAACTTGAGTCAGGAAAATTGAACCAAGGTGTGATGTAAGGGTAAGAAGAGGTCAATGATTAGTCACTAAGGGAGCTCCCTCGAGAGTGAGTAAGAGATTGGGGATGTGTTCACAATGTTGAAAGGGTAGCCGGGATCCATTCTCACAGGCCCCAAGGCTGCCTGGAGGGCTGGTTAGGAGGATGGCCTGATGTAGCAGGAAAAACTAGTTGTAGGTCCCACTCCAAATCAATTACTCTTTATTGAGTATATGGAATCCGTAAGGATCACTGAGAAATCATCGTAGATAACTGCTGTTTCATTTTATTGATTTTTTAGCTTCAGTATTAAATTGCTAAATCTTTTCTTTTTGACCTTGTATACACAGGAATTACCTCTGACTCTTTAGCTGCTGAAACTAATATAACATCAATAGAAATGCTGGCCAAGAAGATGGAGTCTGGGACGTCTTGTCTTTCTCCAAAAGAGAGGGAACAGGTTTCAGCAACACCCCAAATCACCAAGTCAGAACAGGATAATCATCCTGGTATCAAATTACAGATCGCCCCGATCCCTAGGTAAGCAGACTCTAAAGCAGGCTTGTGTTCACAGGTTTAATTCAAGTCCAATTCTCAGTTTCTCCTCCCCAGATCCAGGATACCATCAGATTAGTGATACCTTCTGCCTCATACGAGGACCAGGTGGTCTAATCCATCTTTGGTGTTAAGGGAAGGAGCTGAGGGTGATGGGGGGGGTTGGAACCAGTGCCAGGAAGATCTGTGTCCTTTCTCAGTACACACACCATCCCCCCTCACACCACCCCCAAGGAGACCTGACCTGCAATGAGGAAGGAGCTGCCAGAGTCAGGAGGGCTGCTGGAGTGGAGTCACCCCTCCCTCCTGGCATTGGTCCTCCCTCTTCACCCTCATTTGTGCTGCACTTGCAGATCCCACCCACCTTTCCAGCCAGTCCTGGGGAGCAGGAGCAAACTGCCAAGCAGGCAGCCTCTGGAGCTGTGGGAAGGAGGGAGCTGTGAATAGCCCTGTGAGAACAGGGAGGCGGCAGGCACGTGCTAGTTAGAGACCGCGCACAGTATCAGAAGCGTTTGGTTTTGAGACAAGTGTAAGGTTAAGAATCCATGGTAATTTAAGGAACTGTGTCAGGGTATCGATGTCATTTTCTAAAACATTAGTGTCACATCAGTCTCTGTTCGTGCTCTTGAAAGGAAAATTCCAAACAAAAACACCAAGACCACAGTTCTGTATCTTCGTTCTCTGGAAAGCACAGCTGGGCCTCTTCCAGTCTAAACTCCTGTCTCAGACCTGTCATTTCCCCACTGTAGTCAGCTCCTGGGTGGATGAAAGCAGGCAGCTGACGTGAAGACCACCTCTTACTGTCTCCGGAATTGGTGATGGGCGTTTTCAGCAGACTGGCCACGAGTTTTGTGAGGCTAATGTAATCAGTGGTTTTGTGATGTGTGACCAGGATTCACTGCCTGGAAAGGTCTCTGCAACGTACCCTCCAGGCTGCCTGTGATTGGAATGCATTCAGGTTTACCAGGAAGATGCCTGATTTGTTCCAGTTTCAATTTGTGGTTTGGTCCACCATCTTAAAAGATGTTTTTTGAATAATTTACTGTCAAAGCTAGAAAGAATCTTAGAATTCATTAGTCCAGCCTCATTTGGTGTTAGGCCCAATTTCATCAAAACGTGTCAGCTCTTTGAAAGTTTATGGAATAAACAAACACCAACTGCCAAGTAGCTGACTTCAAATAAAAGCACACTTAACAATTCACTCAATTAAATCCCTGTGCTGACACCATGTGAGAGCAGATGGACACCACCCAGTTCATTCTGACAATGAGGGCAAGTCCACCTTAGGACGAGAGCTGCTATAGACATTTCTCTTGTGTTTTATTAGGGAATAAGAAAAAAATAAAGACTAACAAGTAGAATTTTGAAAGAAGTTAGAAGGTTTTGAATGCATCTCTTGCTGTCTCTCAGAATAAACGGAATGCCGGAAGTGCAAGACATGAAGCTTATCACTCCTGTACGGCGTTCAGCCAGGATCGAGCGAGCAGTGTCCCGCTACCCGGAAATGCTGCAGGAACATGACCTAGTGGTGGCTTCTCTCAACGAACTGTTAGAAGTGGAAGAGACAGAGTGTTTTATATTCCGCAAAAATGAGGCTTTGCCGGTAACATTAGGGTTTCAAGTCCTTGAATCGTAATTTCTTGATTTTTTTTTTTAAAAAAGACATTTCAGAGCCTCCACAAGACAAGAAATGCACTTACCTGGGTGGCCTGGGAGAAACTGTAATAGAGGGGCATCGTGGGTGCAGACTGTGGGCCCAGGGCCTGGGAAGTAACTCCCTGGGCTTCCTCTCCGATTTTACACCCCCAGGGGAGCGTCTGGTTACTTAAGACTGTAGTTTGCCCCAGCTTTACAGCACACAGAAATCTCAAACTTTGAAAATTAACTTACCCCACAAGTATGGTAACAATTTGAATTTTATTGACCTGCCTTAATCCCAACATAGTTATTTTTTATATCAGGAGGTCAATTCCACAATATGATAGACTTTCCTTCCTGCATCCACCTTAGCAGAGAGGGCAAATCCTTCCAGCATGGAAGATCTGAGTGTAGAAACTAGCCTTCCCCGCTAGGTGGGACGTGACAGACCATCTGGTCAGATCCTCTCATTCTGCAGCTGAGTTTATGCTGGCTGTGCCTTTCGCTCAGAGATCACAGATGACTTTTATGTGTGATCTTTGACTTCCGTCACAGATCCTTGGAGATGAGAGGTAATTCACATCCTTTCTGGGCCTGGCCTCCTTAATGATACACAATCCTGCACTGGAGTGGTCATCTAGCTTTTTATATTCAAACCTAATTTTGCATTTGTTATTGAGAAATGCTTCAAATAAAAACAAAAGGGAGCAGCAGACAGGGGCGGGGAGAGGACCCTTGCCTCTTCAGTTCTTTGCTCTGCTAGGGGACACCTGGCCTGAGAAGACATCTGAGCCCCAGAGACTATCATAGGTCGCCTTTCCTTCCTCCTGGGCAGCTGCCTGTGGAAAGGTAAAATCAGAATCGTTGTGTAAATATAATGTATAGGAAAACCTAGTCGATGTATTTGAGATTTTAGTTTTCTTAATACTTATGTATCATCTAAAAAACAATTGACTTTTATTCATTCCTGCGTATTCATTTATCATATTTATTACAGAAAACAGTGCTGGTGGCTTGGCCTAGAGAATTAGGGGTTTGTCTGGGGAACGCCAATAGGCTATCCCAAGCGCCTCACAGGGAACACCCACTACCCTGGAGAGCTCACCTTCATGTGGATTTTTCCATTGTGAGGGAAGCAGATCCATCTCTCCAAGTCTGATTTACAAAAACGAGGTTCGTAAAGCTGAGGTATAAACCCGTAATGCTCATAGACTAACTTTGGATGAGAAATAGATTGTCACCACAACCAAAACGCAGGAATCCACACAGCTAGGCGTTCCCTTCCCTTTAGACAGACTCACTTTACCTCTAAAGCCAAATCATGCCCGAGGGGTTGCTTAGAAGTCCTGGCAGCTGAAAATGGGACTTGGGGAAATCAAATATTCAAAATCACGAGACAGAAAGAGCCTGAAGCACGCCCCTCCTTGTTAGGAACGCCCTTGCCTCAGACCTCAGGCCCTCCAGCTCACGTCCGTGGACCAGTCCTCTGATTGGGCCTGCACTGCTGTCCTTTGTGCATTACCTGTTCTTTGGCTTCAGACGGTTCATCCTTGCCACCTAATGCCCATCCCCCCACCCAGACTGGGAATCAGCTGTCTATGGTGATGTTACGTCTCTCTCTCCTCAGAACATCGTCTCAGTATTACGGCTCAGTTCTCAAAAGAACACCTTCGCTATTGCCAGTTCCCAGCAGGACTTCTCACAGTACCACCTGGGTACTAACAATGTCGGCTGAACCACTGGCACTGAATAACGTGTAGATTTCAAACTGACAAATTGGAGGTTTTAAACAGCCTGATTGGACTAGGTAGCATCTTCAGGATATAAAAGGATGTGGGAGTGATGGGGATGGTATAGCAACTACAGGAAACTGCACCGTGATTCTGGAGCTCTTTGTAGATTCTTAGTAACCCTCTTGTTTAGTAAATAGCGGTTCCTAGATACCTGGAGCAGGAGGGAGGGAGAGAGGGAAGGTAAGAAGCAGGCCCTTAATCACTTGGGAGGAAGATTCATAGGGAACTGCAGGGGAGATATGGGCCTCGGCAGAAATTAAGTCTAACGTCCAACTTCTTAGAAGGGGGGAGTGTAAAGGGAGTGAGTGTTAAAGGAAGATAAATAAGGATGGTTATATACTGGCATCCTGGTGCAGAATGACCATGACCCAGAAGACGAGGAGAGGAGGAGGCATGACAGTTCACATTTATTACTGTTTACTAGGTACAGGTACTCATGCTATAAAAGACATCTGTTGTGCCTGCTTGGCGTGTAGTCCTTCTTCTAATAAGAGTGCCCTAATTTCCTTAGGACCACCTCTTTCCCACTCACAATCTGTCGCTTAACAGGAACGGACTCCACCCACATTAGCATGTGACCCAGGCTAGGCCAACCAGAGCCCAGTATCGTGGCCAGCGGCATTGATTGGACGATGGGGTTATTTCTCACTCAAAACCAGTGAGACTCGTTTCCCAGACTTTTGTTGGAGAGACTCTTTCCCTGGTAGAGTTGCTGCAAAGAGGATGGAAACCTGTAAACCTTCTTATAACCATGGAGAAAAAAACCTCCTAGAGAATGGCACCAACACAATAAGCCTGAGAGCTAGAGAGAGTAAGCTTACATCCAGTGACATCATTTGATCCCTGGCTAAAGCCTGGAGCTGGCCAAGCCCTGTACTTTTCAGTGATGTGAGACAATTGATTCCCTTATTCTTAAGCCAGTTTCATTTAGGTTTCTGTCAGGTGCTAGGGAAAAATCCTGACTAGTACACATATATACAGTAGTAGAGGAAACTCCTATTTCATGTTTGCTCTGGCCGCCTTCCAGGCATATTGTCTCACTACATTCTCACAGTAGCCCTATGGCATAGGTATGGAAACAAAGTGAGACAGTAAATGACAGGCAGGACTGAAGTTTCAAACTCAGAGCTGCCTGGCTCCAAGTGCAGAGCTTTTAACTCCTGTCTCTAAAGTATGGAAATGAGAACTAGGACGGTGACAAGGAAAGAGCAAATCTGAGAAAGACATTCTTGAACGGTTCCCAACTTACCAAATAAGAATCACTGTGATAGCCAGAGTGCTGTCATTTATCCTCCAGATGAGGTGATCGATCACATCTTTACCACAAGAGCACCGCCCCAGGCATGGTGCTTCTCATCATTTCTGCCTGCTCGGGACTGGGTGCCGGAATTCAGACCCCGATTCAGCCGGTGTGACTAGTCACAACTAGAAATGCGTCTCTCTCCCATCAGCAACCCTGGTGAAACAGCCAATGCTCAGCTGTGCCAGGCCCACAGCACATCGGTCTCGGGGCTCTGCCATCCCCAGGGTGCAGCCTCACCCATGTGGACAAGCGTGGCTCCCAAGCAGTTTCACATGGCAGCCAGTGGGAACGGGGAAGAGAGGGGGCGGAAGGCACACCCTCTCCTTTTAAGGTCACGACCTGGAAGCTGGATGCATTATTTCTGCTTAGGGTGAGAGGGACCACAGCTTGCTCACGTGTCCCCACTCATCTTCAAAGAAGGCTGGGAAATGTCTTGTGGGTGGCCACATGCCCAACTAAAACTTCTTCCAGAAACGGGATATGACTATCAGTGTCTACCACAGTCTTAGGAGTAATGGAGTACATCTCTAAGGTGCAGATAAATGAGGACAGAGGTGACACAGGATTAAAAATATATATACTGCATCAAATGAACAACCCCGAGCTAGAAATATCTCCCACCCTACCCTGCCTCAGATGAGTTCCTAAGAATTGAGGAGGGTTCTAATCCAAAGTTGTATAGCCCTTCCCCACTTCCTCTCGTCCGTCTCATGATAGGTCTTTAGCCCCACCCTTTCCCCTGCAGTTCTACAAGCTGACCCAGAGTAATAATAAATCAGGTTACACGGTTCACTCAATAAAACATACAGGACACTGGAAGCCAGAGATACAATGATGACCCAAACGACCTGTCACTAAGGAGCCTTAAGTCCGGTGGGGACACATGTTAAAGAATCACAAGTGTCAAAGTGTGATGATCCTGGGCTTCCCTGGTGGCGCAGTGGTTGAGGGTCCGCCTGCCGATGCAGGGGACACGGGTTCGTGCCCCGGTCCGGGAGGATGCCACATGCCGCGGAGCGGCTGGGCCCGTGAGCCATGGCCGCTGAGCCTGCGCGTCCTGAGCCTGTGCTCCGCAAGGGGAGGGGCCACAGCAGTGAGAGGCCCGTGTACCGCAAAAAAAAAAAAAGTGTGATGATTCTGAGAAAGAGGTCCCTGGGGGAGGGACTAAGAGAAGGAACTGATCCAGTCAGGGAGGTGGGGAGGCCCCCCGAGATGTGAGGTGGGGGGCAGAGATGGGGGTGCTTCAGGCAGAAGGAAAAACACGGGAAGGGCCCTTTGGCCACCTCTTCCTTTTGCAGGTCTCTCTCCCCTCCCTGTCCCTTCCCCCCTTCCCCTCTCCCTCTCCCTCACTCTCTTCCTCACACCCCTTAGGGGTCTGCTGCCAGGCCGATTACCCCCAGGCCCTTCTGCATTCTCTCCACCCTGGGAGGGAATTCTAAGGGTTCAGTTTTGTAGCATTACAAAATACTTTTTGTAATACTACTGTATTTCAGCACCTTTCCAGAAAAGCATGGACCCTAGGGTCTGAGCAGTTTTCCTGGTAAAATACTATCATCTACCTCTTGAATAAAAATCTAGTGTTTAAAGACAAAAGGCCAGGGATACCCAGTTCTTGCCTGGAGAACCTACCCCTGCAGGACTCTGAGGCCCAAAAGTCAACCCAGGAAGAAGAGTGAAAGGCCTGGGAACTTCTGAAATAAACAGAGATTTTAAAAAATGACTGTGAACTCTCAGCATGCAGCCTGTTGTCCCTTATTTATCCTCAGATATTCCAAATGTTTCCCTTGTTTATCCACAGAAAATAAAACTAGTGAACTGTGCCACAGACCAATTTCTTCAAGAGTTTGTTTTGTCATTTCAAACATGTAAATATATTCCTTCTGAGCCTCCAATATTAATGCCAGACGATACACTAACACGAAAAGTGAACTCAAATTAATGACAGAACAAGAAGGGCCAGGGCTTAACACCACGGAGGAGCTCCGACTAAAATAAAGAATCAAGTTTTTAAATCATGAGTAGGACTTACAGTTTTTAATGCATGTATACATCAAGTTCAAAGATGTCTGGGCATCTCGCTGTCTTGCATAGTGACCTGGAAAGAACATTAATGAGGTCATCTATAGCCCATTAGGTATTATTGTTACTAGTGACGGAATCAAAAGTGCACAGAAATATTATTTTTATTTATTTTTTGATGTGGACCTTTTTTTTTTAAGTCTTTATTGAATTTGTTACACTATTGCTACTATTTTATGTTTTGGTTTTTTGGCCGCAAGGCATGTGGGATCATAGCTCCCCGACCAGGGATCGAACCCACACCCCCTGCATTGGAAGTGCGGAGTCTTAACCACTGGACCGCCAAGGAAGTCCCGGAAATACTATTTTTAAAAAGAAATGGATAGAAATAAAATTGGATGTGAAATGATACACTCAGGGGAACTGGGCAAAATAATTCCACTTGTTACACACAAATGGCCCAGAGGCCAGGGAGGGTTGCCTTCCAGGATGAGAGCAAGACACCTTCCTCCTACCTAAAAGAAGTGCTCTTGGGCTCCAAACCTGTTACATTTAGGAGACTTCAATATGGTTGCTTTTTCTCTCTTCCATATTTTTCCCGTTATCTGAAAAATATTTCAAGTGGAAGACGACCGTGATGCCGGCCTGTGTCCTGGGTTCAGTCTGCCTCCGTGCAGCCCTCCTGGTCCTTGCCTCTCTCTTTGCCCTCAGCCTTCTAAGAAACAAAGAAAGCTGGTCATGGAGCCTTCCCAGGTTCACACAGTGACTCTCAACCAGGGGTAGAAAATGTGTCAAAATGCCCTAGCCTGGGCTGGGATGGAGATGAAGGGGTAGAGAAACCAACACATCCCTAGAGAACATGCAGTTGCAGATGGGAGTGGGTCCAGCCCTCTGGTGGGCTGGGAGGGAAAAATAGTTGCAAAGCACTGATTAAAGTATTGATGTGCTTGAATTTTGAGCTTCTCCTGGGCGGGAGTAAAGTGGCTTACAATTCCGTTTCTACCTTGTCGGGCATGCTGGAGGTGCTTGGTAAAAAAACCGGTGGGAAGAATGCTCACTGAGCCCGAAGCCACCAATCTAAAGGGAACCGACGAGACAGGCATTTTGAAAATCAAGGCCCAGGAACGCCAGGGTAGAAACAGGAACCCTCCTGCAGGGCCTGGGGCTGCAGAACCAGGCTAGGAGCTGAGCCTGCCCCTCAGGAAAACTGGAGTTTGCACTCAAAGGGCAGTCAGGCAGCACAAAGGAGCAGAAGGGTCAAAGCAGAAGCCCCTACACATTGTGTCCATAAAAGCTGCCTGGAGAGGAAGCCTGGCCAGGGAGAGCCTGTGCTCTGCAACCTCTCCCAGGGCGGAGACGGAGCTGTCAGAGAAATGAGCCAGAACTGGTGTGAAGAGGTGCAGGGCCCCAGTGCAGTCAGCTGACCCCGCTGAGCAGAACCTGTGAGTTTGGGCTGACAGCCAGTGGTTCTGGGCCCCCTCGGACCCAATGCCTCATTTTTTTTTTTTTTTTTTTTTTCCGGTACGCGGGCCTCTCACTGTTGTGGCCCCTCCACTTGCGGAGCACAGGCTCCAGACGCGCAGGCTCAGCGGCCATGGCTCACGGGCCCAGCCGCTCCGCGGCATGTGGGATCTTCCCGGACCGGGGCACGAACCCGTGTCCCCTGCATTTGCAGGCGGACTCTGAACCACTGCGCCACCAAGGAAGCCCCAATGCCTCATTTTAAATCCAAATATTTTCTAACACAACATTGTAAATCAACTATTTCAATTAAAAAAATATGTAAAACAAGTATTTTCATTTCTTCTATCCTGAATTGAAATTCATAGATAATATAATGATTGTATCTATAATCTTAAAAATCAATATAATACCATAACTATAACATAGGAGAAATGAAAAGCAATGTATAATATAATATGTATTTCTATGTAAATACTCGGGAATGATTGCACTTGGAAGGCAAAAGAGCTCCTGCAAATCTCCCAAATGCCTGCTCGGGTTGATACTGCTCCATTGGGACCCCTGCTCTAGCCCCGGGGTAGCCCCTAAGTCGCTGAGCTCCTGGGCCAGCCAGGTGGCTCCTTCCACTTCCCAGCAACTCACCCTCTGGCTGCAGGAGAGGAGGTGGGCGGCAGGACCCAGACTGGCCCATTCTGGCTCTGCTGCTGACTCATGGGGCATCTGTAGGGACCAATGCAGCAAGAGGTGGAGAAGCTCCGTCAGTGGTGAGGCCTTCCCGGAGTCCCCAGTTATGCATAGACACCGCCCCACCCCCCCCCACCCCCCGCCAGCTCCATCCTCTGCCCCCAGCTGCCAGCTTCCTGCCCAGTGATGCCACAGAAAAGGGAGCCCAGGAGGGTCAGCTGGAGAAGGAAAGCTCTGGCAGACGGACTTCACTTCCTCAAAAATCCCAGGCAGCACAGCGGGGTAAAGGTCAGGTTTCTTTAACTGTTTCACCTGGGTGCTCCGGATCCTTTTTCTTCACCTGTCTGGTCTCTACTTTAGCAACAATGTCTAACAGCACTCTAACTGTGCCTCGGACCCCCAGCTTTGGCAACAGGAAATCTCCAGCCCTGCTCATCTAAAAGCCCAGAGAAGGGATGAAGCTGCATGGGGAGAGCTCAGTTCCCCCAGCATGTGGCAGTGTGATGCAGGGGGCAGAGCGTGTCCCCTGAGTTCAGCAGCCCTGGGTTCAGATGCTGACTCTGCAGTCTGTCTACCAGTGTGACAGCAAGTTACTTAGGTTCTCTGCACTTAAAATTCACCAGTGGTAAAATGAGAAGAAAACCTACTTTGCTGGGTTAAGCATTCAGCAGGATCGATTTTAAAAAAAAAAACACCCAGCCCAGAAACAAAACAGTTTTTCCTCCTCTCAAATATCAGGAAGGGAGCTGAGAGTGACAAGAAAAGCGGGGCTCAGGGAGCCCCAGAGAACTAGTTTCAAGTCCAGATCCTTGAGTGCAGGTGGCACACCATGTACGATGGAAATAATGACCGCCTGTTGGGAGAGGGACGGGTGTCCTCTGGGGAGCTCTGCCCTGGTCAATCCCACGGCCCCCATGAACTCCGTGGCGTCTTCGCCGCCTCCACTTCCCTGCTTTTGCCCCAGAAGCATCTCCAGGGCTTCCAGAGGAAAGCCAGCTGGAGCGTTTACTGTATGGACTGCTGTTTGGTCCACTTCCTCTGCGATCACTGTGTACTGAGGGTAGGGAGACCATAGCCTTCCTCCTTCAAACCAGTATCATATGTACTAGGGAGATAATGTGGTCTCAGTTTAAAGCAGGAGGGCAGGAGGAAAACTTCCCAGCAGAGGCATCGTATCTATACAACCACAACCCCTCTAGAGCTTTTGTTTTTTTTTTTAACCGTGTGGACAGTTATCTGCAAGGGTTTGACCCGCTTGTGCCTAGAGGGGGAGCGTGGGTCTGGTGACCTCAAAAGCCCTTGGCAGGGCTGGGGACCAGTGGATCCTTCTGGGACGGAGGGTCAGGGATGCCGGGGGGGGGGGGGGGGGGGTTCTGCAGGGACCCACCAGCTCCGGGGCCACCCGGTACAGAGAGCTGAGCGGTGGTACAGGAAGTTGAGGCAGGTGGCCGCGTAGAGGTCGGCGTAGCGCATCATATGGTTGGAGAAGAGCGTCTGGCGGAAGCCGCAGCGGAACAGGCTGCCCATCGCGCTGTAGCACCGGTCCAGCTCCTGGGAGACTCGCGGGCAGAGATCCCATCCCCGCCCACCCCACCCCCTCACCCCCACCCCTGCAGCCCACGACGGGGAAGGGGCTGCCGTGTTGCCCGCAGCCGGGGTCTTTGGGAAGTGGGGCAGCTCGCCGCTTTGCCACGGACCCCACTTCCCGCTTCACAGTTAGTTTCCTGCCTGGCCCTGGAGAGTGACCACCCTGCACTAAATTCTCAGCATCACTTACCTTCTGATGCCTCCTCAGAGGGCTTTGCAGGAGGCCCACACGCCCAGTCCCCAC